CTATATGGTTAACTTAGAATATGAGTACTATATTCCAAGGATGAATCATGTTTTTCTTTTGTAAAAATTCTGTCGAGGCTTAGGAGGTGAGATAAAATGGTATTATCATTAAGCTATCTGGTAAAATAAAAATAGAAGAATATCAGATAAAGTGAGTGGATTGCATGTTTTGTCTGCTATTCATAATTAAATTGTGCATGTTCAGAGGAGGAGAAGGAGAAGGTGAAAGAAGCATTCATTTCTTTTTTCTACCTTTGAGCTAGCAATCCTTTAGTAACATTTACCTTAGAATTAAATCTAATTTATTTATGAAAGCATGCTTTATTTGTCTGCAGTTTAGAAACTGGGGAATCATGTAAGTTAATTCTTAGATCTGAGTGTTCATAAAATTTACCTTCCAAAATAGTTTGGGGAAAAAAATATAGTTGTATATATTGACTAGCATTACAATGCTTTTCAAAATTTCAAAATTCAAAAATAATTTTTTTAAATCTAGTAATTACCCCTTCTAATTCAATGTGTGTGTCTTATTTTAGATTTAAGATGGGGGAATAATCATATGGTAGCATTACTAGAAAAATTTTTAAATTTTAAACCACCTCAGTGACCAAAAATCAAGTGATTATCTGTAGGGTCTTTTAAATAAACTGACTTCTGAATTTAAGTATTACTGTCAATGCTATGTTTTAAAATATATTTTGATTTAGTTAATCATAAATCTCATTTTTACCATTTTTAAGAATCTGTGAGCTGCTTGGTATATATGATGAAGGGAACTTTAGCTTTTCAAATGCTTGGACTTACTTGGTTATAATAAACAACATGTCACAATTGGTAAGTAAATATTAATTTTAATTGTATTAAATTAGCATCTATGACTAAATTTTCTTAGAAGTTTCTTTGGGAATAAAGTTTGTTATTTTTTAATTTTGAAATTCAATTTATAGAAAAGAACTTGAAGAAACTTTAACATGTCTTTATACATATATAAAGACATAGTATCTTTGTAAATTACCTGGTGACTTTTACCTTGACCTGTTGTTCATGTTTGTTCATTTGGTCCTAGTAGTCATTACATAGTTGTGTGGATGTCATAAATAAAAGCACAATGCTATCCTTAAAAAACACATAACCTAGGCATACTCCATAAGAGAAAATGTCTAAAAAAAAAATGTCTAATTGGTAAATGATAGTACCAGGTTTGGTTTTTTTTTAAACGTTTTTTTCTTTTTTAAGATTTTATTTATTTGAGAAAGAGAGAAAACGCACAAGCGCACACAAGCAGGGGGAGCAGCAGCAGGAGAGGGAGAAGCAGGCTCCCCGCTGAGCAAGGAGCCCGATGTGGGACTCGATCCCAGGACCCTGAGATCATGACCTGAGCTGAAGGCAGTCGCTTAACTGACTGAGCCACCCAGGCGCCCCAGTACCAGGTTTGAATAAAAATGGAATAAAATTATCTCATATCTTTGGAATAAAGGAAAATTGCAAATGCCAAGTTTAAAGAAAAATGATGTTCTAGAAACTGAAATGCTCTAAAAAATAACTGTCTGGGGCGCCTGGGTGGCTCAGTTAAGCGTCTGCCTGCAGCTCAGGTCATGATCCTGGGGTCCTAGGATCAAGCCCTGCGTTGGGTTCTCTGTTCAGTAGGGGGCTTGCTTCTTCCTCTCCCTCTGCCCTTCCTCCCCCCCCCATAAATAAATAATAAAGTGCAGCTTAAGAACATGCACTTTATTTAAAATCTTTAATGTTTTCAACAAAATAATAGGTGCAGTGGCATGCATGTGTGATATTAGATGTTTGTTATAATAATATGCCTTTGCATTCAAAGCTTTCGCATATAGGTTCATATTCTTTGGAACCAGTAATTCCATTTCTGGGAATGTATCCTCAAGAAATGGCTTATTTTTGGTTTGAATATCTTTGTGTTTGCAGCCTATCTTTTTTTTTTTTTAAAGATTTTATTTATTTGAGAGAGAAGGAGAGAGAGAGCATGAGAGGGGGAAGGGTCAGAAGGAGAACCAGGCTCCCCGTTGAGCAGGGAGCCCAATGTGGGACTCGATCCCGGGACACCAGGATCAGGACCTGAGCCGAAGGCAGTTGTTTAACCAACTGAGCCACTCAGGCGTCCCTACAGCCTATCATTTGTAATAGCCAAAGTCTGGAAACCATGCAAAGCCCAGTGATAGGGACTATTTAAATGTACTATGGTTCTTCCACTGACCAAAATATTAAGTAATCATTAAAAATAATCCTTATGGGGATGCCTGGGTGATGCAGTCGGTTAAGCATCTGATTCTTGGTTTCAGCTCAGGTTGTGATCTCAGGGTGGTGGGATTGAGCCCTCAGCGGGGAGTCTGCTTGAGATTCTATCTCCCTCTCCCCCTCGCGTGCACTCAAATAAATAAAATCTTTTTTAAAAATACGCCTGGGTGGCTCATTCGGTTAAGCAGCTGCCTTCGGCTCAGGTCATGATCCCAGGGTCCTGGGTTCGAGTCCCACAACAGGCTCCTTGCTCGGCAGGGAGCCTGGTTCTTCTTCTGCCTGCCTCTCCCCCTGCTTATGTTCTCTCTCTCTGACAAATAATTAAAATCTTTAAAAAAAAAAAAAAAATTCCTAGGGCACCTTGGTGGCTCAGTCGTTAAGCGTCTGCCTTTGGCTCAGGTCGTGATCCCAGGGTCCTGGGATCGAGTCCCGCAACGGGGGCTCCCTGCTCAGCAGGAAGCCTGCTTCTCCCTCCCCCACTCCCTCTGCTTGTGTTCCCTCTCTCGCTGTGTCTCTTTCTGGCAATAAATAAATAAAAAATCTTTAAAAAAAAAAAAAAAAGCCCCTTATGTGTAGAAGGGAAGGGTTGGATAATGGGACTGTGGACAACTTTGTATTTTTCTTTATTGCTTTCATATTCTAAAATATTTTACATGAACATTTTATATACTGTAATGGGAAAAACTAAACTTTCAGGGAAATGTTTATTTCTATGTACAATACACTAGGTTGTTAACAACTGATTTCTAAAAATAGTTAATAAAGTCTTAAAAACTATTTTAAAAAAGTAAATTGAGCTGGATTAACATACTGCCCTCAAGAAAAATTGTTTGCTTACTTTCATATTTAATGGTCATAATTTTATTCATAGTACTTATTTACTGTGTTGTCTAATAAGCAGATATATTTTTACTTGGGCTGAATGAGGGCCTTTTCCTCCACTCATGACAGTCATTTGTTCATTGTTTTCTTTATGGGCCCCCATTAAGTGAATGCTGAAAACCATTTTCAGGGAAGACATTATGCATCTCTTCTGAGAAATTTCACATCCTATATTTTCATCCACAGTAAATTCTAAAAGCTCATTATTAATCTAAAAAATAACAGAACAGAAAGCCTAGAAAAATTTGCCTAAAACATTACTCTGTACCAGGTCTCTGTTTTCTCTAACTGTATTATTTCTGTTACCGTCTTTAGTTCTTCTTATTGAATAAGTTTAACTGTTGTTAATTTTGTTTCTAGTTTGCCATGTATTGTCTGCTCCTATTTTATAAAGTACTGAAGGAAGAACTGAGTCCAATCCAACCTGTTGGCAAATTTCTTTGTGTAAAACTGGTGGTTTTTGTTTCTTTTTGGTAAGTGTTGCTTTCTCTTAAATGTAATGTTTGCATTTTCTACAGGGCAGTAACACTGTTGATTAGGGAGGATTTTCAAAATAATCCTAATATAGAAAATGAATTAAAATGTCTCTACTTACCTTTTAAAAAAGTTCATCTGTTTAGCCCTTCTTGGTTTTTCATAAAGAAATAATCAGATGGTCACCATAACATTTATAAGAAGAAAATAATTTGAGACAACCTAACTGTCTCAACACTAGAGGAATCATTAAAAAATACATGATGGTCCTTTCATATAAGAGAATAGTCTGCAGTTTGGAAGATAAACATAAGAATATTTAATAATGTAAGGTAATGCTCATTTGCTTAGTAAAATATATTTTTTAAAGCAGAAGGCAAAACTGTACATGGTCCCAATTTAGTAAAAGGGTGGGTGATAGGGGACCTAGAAACAAATACATCAAATTTAACAGTATACAAATACAAAAAGGGGAAAAAGAATAATCCTTGAAATCCTACCACTCAGAATGAGTAACATTGTGGTGCAGATAATGTCACATATAAAATGCCACATATGGTATGCCACATACCATAAAAACTTGCAGAACTCAACGATACATTAAGTATGTTGTGGATATAGTCAGTAAAATGAGGATATATTTTCTTATCGTTTGGGATTGTTTTTTGGTTTTACTAAGTATTCTGTTCTGTGGATCTAACCTTTTAATTACTCTCCTATTGACATTTAGATTGTTCCTAATCCTTTCACCATTACAAGCAATATTGAAGTAAAATTCTTGTATTACAGAACTGTATAAACCTGTCTCATTATTAGCTGTTTAAATTTAACCTAGGGTCATAGCCACGGATGTGCTTGAAATGTTGAATATGACTCCCATTTTGGGAGTCCAATGCCTTCTGAGTTGGTCTGTAGTTCCAGCACTTCCAACAAGACTGGTTTCAAAATGTTTTTAAAAATAATCTGAATAACTAATACATGTGTAAATAACACTTCAGTGTCTGTCCTTTATTTTAAATGCCTATTGTTCAAGGTTGTGGGCATTGTCTGTGTATAGGAAGAATTTAAAATCTATTAATTACTTGTATACACTTTCAAAACAAAGGCATATAAACCAAGTTTTGAAGTTCCATGTGTATAAGAATGCATAATCAAAATTCACATGATGAAACTGTACTAGAAGAATAAATTTGTAAAGCAAATAAATGTATTTAGTATAGATATACGGTGTCTTCAGGAGTATGCTGTGAAGGTAGGGTGGTGGTGGTGGTGGTGGTCCACAGGTTGTGCTGGGGTTTAACTTTTTAAAATGGCATATTTTTAAAACAACTGCTCATTTTATGCTTGATATAGATATGGCGTTTACCTTTTCCTAACATATAGGCAAGCAGTAGTTATTGCTTTGTTGGTAAAAGTTGGCGTTATTTCTGAAAAGCATACATGGGAATGGCAAACTGTAGAAGCTGTGGCTACAGGACTCCAGGTTAGTGCTCTCTGTAAATAAAACTTTACTGTTTACTCATTTTACATATTATCTCCTAAACCTGACAACATGCAGGCCGTGAGGCTACTATTATCCTCACTTTACAGAGGAGAAAATGGAGGAGCCCTAGAGAGACTAGCCATCATCACTAATTTGTGGTAGAGCCAGGAACAGAACCTAGATTTTTGTTTTACCTAGTCAGTTTCTCTTTGTGCATTTCTCTTCTTAGTCTTTGGGCAGTGGATTGAGACTGCATTGTACTTTGCAAAAACATACTTGACTGAGGTAGTGTAAAGTTTTGTCCTTTTTTTAAGAGGTCAAAAATGAGTTATTTTGGGAAAATGAAAAAATGAATATAATCTTAGGGGGAAAAAAACAGCTGTTGATACTGAAATACTTTTTGAAAAGAGAGAAAGATAGTGCTTTTCCTTTATCTACAAAACTAGATTTAAGCTGAAAGATGGCTGCTATTTTTGTTTTTGTTATTATAGGACTTTATCATCTGTATTGAGATGTTCCTTGCTGCTATTGCTCATCACTACACTTTCTCATATAAACCATATGTCCAAGAAGCAGAAGAGGGCTCATGCTTTGATTCCTTTCTTGCTATGTGGGATGTTTCAGATATTAGGGATGATATTTCTGAACAAGTAAGGCATGTTGGTAAGTACCAGCCATTTCATTCATCCAAATAGATAATTGTAGTTCTCCTGCTAGGGCAATTTAGAAGCTGTTTAAGAGATTAAAAGACTGTTTAGGGCACCTGGGTGGCTCAGTTGGTTAAGCGACTGCCTTCGGCTCAGGTCATGATCCTGGAGTCCCGGGATCGAGTCCCGCATCGGGCTCTCTGCTCGGCAGGGAGTCTGCTTCTCCCTCTGACCTTCCCCCTCTCATGCTCTCTGTCTCTCATTCTCTCTCTCTCTCATTCTCTCTCTCAAATAAATAAATAAAATCTTTAAAAAAAAAAAAAAAAGACTGTTTAAAGCAGTACCCGTAAAGCTCTTCAAAGTGAGAGATGGGAGGGGGGACTTATTCCTAGCATGGTAAGTTTATAGTGGTAAAAATAACTTTTGACTAACTTGGAAACCTTTCTATTACTTTAAAGGAAGGACAGTCATGGGACATCCTAGGAAAAAGTTTTTTCCTGAGGATCAAGATCAAAATGAACATACAAGCTTGTTATCCTCATCCTCACAAGATGCAATTTCTGTTGCCTCTTCTGTACCACCTTCACCCATGGGTCACTACCAAGGGTTTGGACACACTGTGACTCCCCAGACTACACCTACTACAGCTAATATATCTGATGAAATATGTAATGATACTACAGAAGAGAAAAAAGAACTTATAGATAAATCCGTGGCCTCCTGAACAATGTGCAAAAGCATTGCTCCTGCTACCATGATTTCATTACCTGGTATCCCATTGCTCAGGATTTTGTGCTTGGGACAAGCCATAAATGATGGAAAATTTCAACATAAAGAAGGTGAAAGCCAGGTACAACTACTGGATTTATATAACTGACTTGAGTTTTGTATATCACAAATAATCAGTCTAAATATCCTAGACTTAGACTTGATTTCTTAACATTAGAGTATCACATACTCAAATGGTAGAAGATGACTACTAAATGTTCCTAATGTTACATTGCTTTATCAAGAGGATGGACATTAAAAAAAAAAAAAAAATCAATGCTTCCTACCACTGCTGCATGAATATAATGCTCTGGATTTAGCAGAAAGTGTAATTTGGAAATCTGAATTAGTGGAACTTAATCATGTGCCATATATGCCTACCTAACAATTATTTCTCTATTTCTCAACTGGATGTCTTTCAATAAATAAGAATTTATCATTTATTTTCTGCAATTTTTTGTCTCTCATTCTTTAAACATAAACCCTTAATGTTTTTACAAAAAGTTCTTAATTAGAGGCACAGCAAAAAAGAAATAAGTCCAAAAAGATTAAAGGTTAAAAATTATATACCTACAATGAAAGAGATACCTGTATCTTCTATTCCTTTAGGAGAAATAGCTAGGACCCGATACTAATCTTTAAAGCAACTACTACCTAAAAATCCTATTTACAACACTAGTAATAGATTATCCATGACTTTGAGATGAAAAGAATAAGCTGGGTAGAAGACTAGGAGAATAAATAAGAAACTTGTGATAGCAATGGAGCCTACTTTTCCTCTGTGCTATTAAGGGGGTCAGCAAACAAAGCTAGGCTGAGTAGTCTTAATTATTCATTAAACCACAGCCAGCAGACATGCAGGTGCTATTTCAGAGACATTTATTACTTAGGATGGAGTTTCTCTAATTGCTAATCACAACCCACTGCGTCATCTTTAACATTTACTGAAAATCTAGAAAGTGCGAGAGTTACAAATAGCAAGAATAAATATTTTCTCAAAATCTTTGCTTCATATATTTATGCACACATTCACATTTATGTACTGGTTCACAGTAATTAGATGCAAAGTCTTTATTCCGTCCACTCTTACAAACATTTCTATTGAAGGTAAAGCAGGGTAGTATAATACTAGAGGCAATGAGAATAGGCAATGTAGAGAGAAGGTGCATCTTATTTTCTTTGTGGCTTACTTAAAAAGAGCACATAGTATATACAAGGCACGATAATCATCCTTATTAATCTCCCTGTTGCAAGTCTTTAAAAATTGGGCCAATTATTATATATTTCTTACTGCGCATCCAGATCAAAACTTCAAGAAAGCGCGCTTTCTTGAATTTACCAGTTTAATTTTCTTTGCCAAAGTAGACCAGGAAAAATGCTGCCTCTTAGAGATTTTACTTCATCCCTAACTTTTACTCTCTCAACAAATTCAGCTGATAGCTTAAATTCTTAATTCAAAAGTTTGCATTCTCAAAACAAAAACCCAAGGAGTTTCAAAAGTACGGTATTTAAAAGAAGCAAGCTTGGAATTTACAGGTAACCATAACCCTCAGTCTTGAGTGGAAGCCCCAACTTTCTGAAGTATCCCAATTAAGAAGTTTAGACTTAATAAAAGCCAAGATGCCTTAAAAATTAAAAGTTTTGCTTTACTTACTGGCACAGGACAATGAAGATGGGACTCAAATCCCTTATCTTTATAGCTTTAGAGTGTAGACTAAAGTTCTATTAAACAAAATTGAAACCATTTTAAGTATAACCAAGCAATAAAAACAAACTTCGCTAACTTGAAAAATTAATGACAGCCTTTTTTGGAAAGGAAGTCTGCAGCAATATCTTTGTAATAATGCTCCTCTTTAGAATCTTTTAAATATACTTTATTAATTAAAAAAAAATATTTGACCATTACAAGGAATTAAATCTTTACACGTATCCCCATTTTATGATTACAATCCCACTACTAATTCAGACAAGAACTGTGTACTTGCTGCTCTACCTGGACAGTTTTTCATTAGAAAACTGCTCTTCACTGCTTTACTGTGATGCTGACATTGCTTTTGTGGTGCTGGACATTTAGTACTAATTCCTCTCCCATTTCCACCTGGATGGGATTATCTAAAACAACTGCAGCTTGTTTCCAGTGGGAGGCGTCACTTGAAGTATCCAACCTAATCTCGTCATCAAGGTACATATGATACCAAAAGGGAATGGCAGTCACTTGTCCAGATTTACAAATGTGTACCTATGAAAATTAAGAAATCATGAAAATTTCATCAGAGTAAATAGAGTAGACTTGGATAAGTAAGTCTGTCTTTTTAGTCAATTTTAGCTCCAAATGTTATAAAATTTAATCACCCAATTCAAATTAATACCAAGCTACTGTATTCACTAGTATTTACCCAAGCTCATTTTTGGATATTGTTTAGAAAAAAAATAACATTTAAATCATCAAAAAAAGTGGCTAATACTATTTTGTGTACATGAAGTATTACCTAGCTTAAGATAATTCTGAATATGACAAGAATAATCATTTTGTATTACCTTTACTTCTCTGTTAGAGGTGTTCAAATATGGAGTCATTAAATCTAGTCTTAAGAGTTCCACTGGCTTGCTTAAAGGTATACAGGGCAATGAGGACAGATCCAAAAATACGCGTATAGGTACCTAGACAAAGTACAAATTTTTCACTTTTACTCGATTCTTTTTGTGGCCAAGTACCCTCAGGTACTTACTTCATACTTGCATCAGTATGATATGCTTTTTACATCTAATACCTCATTTAATTCCCTTATCAACCTTAAGGCATAAGCAGTTTCATGATTCCAGTTTTATAAGAATGAACAAACCAAGGTTTAGGCAGGTTAAATAATTTGCCATGGTTTCAATTATCTACAAATTCTTTGCTTGGATGAACGCAAATTAAATTTTTACTTAAGCCAGACAGCTCCAAAAATTTTAAACCCAGGATATGCTTATGTGTGAAAGACGAACTAATAAGCAAATAGTACAATATTAAATTACTGTATTATTTGAGAAAATATGCCAAATTCAACCAAATAATAGTGGATTTTATTTGGAAAATAAAGTTTATTTCTAGAAAGCAATGGTTCTCAACTTTAGCTGCAAGTTAAAATCAGCTAAAGAGCTTTTTTTTTTTTTAAAGATTTTATTTATTTATTCATGAGAGAGAGAGAGAGGCAGAGGGAGAAGCAGGCTTCCCGCGGAGCAGAGAGCCCGATGCGGGACTCGATCCCAGGACCCTGGGATCATGACCTGAGCCGAAGGCAGACACTTAACCATCTGAGCCACCCAGGCGCCCGCTAAAGAGCTTTTTAAAAGCCCCAACTGCTCAGGCCACACCTTAGATAGATCTGGAGTTGGGATCCAGGTATCAGTACTTCTGAAAGTTCAGTCGAAGTTGAGAGCCACTGCTATAATGTGTTCCATCAATTTTAATATCAATGGAACGTTCCTACTAGTAACTTTTAGCCTCTTCATTTGAAATAAAAAGGAAACTTGTTTTGAAAGCGCCCTCTTGCCTTTGAGTAAAATATTAGAGAGCAACTGTGCATGGTGAAACAGTGGACACAGATCTACCAACTTCTCCCTGGGCATCCTTGAAGGCATCCAACCTCTGCCATAAAAACACAGTAGTTCCATGCCATTTCCAGGACTCATTGCCCTTTATCCTCGTTTGTATCAGTCACCAGAAGAAGCTGTAGATTCCTGTTACCTCTCATCACATGCCTTCTAATCCCTCATAGTCTGTCCTCACTCCTGTTTCTCAACCTAGCCTCCTGGCCACTCCTGGCATCTGTGCTAATTCTTACATTTCCCATCTAGAACTCATCATTTCATGAATTCTCTAGAGTTCAGTTCTTTCTATATACCCCCAAGGTGATTTCACTCAGGCTTTAAATATCATCTACCAAATTTAAGTACCAAATTTTATCTCTAGCCTCAATCTTTCTCTGAATTCTTATCCTACTGTTCAACGATCCCGCAAACACATAAACACAACCTGATCCTCCTGCTATTTTCCCCATTTCAGTAGATGGTAACTATCCTTCCAGGTGCTCTTGTACCCCACATCCAATATACCACAACCTACCTTCAAATGTCTCTACAATTGGAACACCTCAGTCACTACCACCTCTCACCTGGATTACTGTGGTAATGCCTTTGCCTGCTCTCACAAGTGGTTTACTTCTTTCAAAACATAACTTTCAAAACAACAAGATATACCATGTCATTCCTTTGTTCAACACCCTCCAGGTGTCTTCCACCCCTTTCAGAGTCAAAGTCTTTATAGAACCAAAGGCTCTACAAGATCTAGCTCCTAATACTTTTCTGACTGCATCTTTCATCTGACCTGCTGTTTCTGAACACTCCAGTCATGCTCCTCCCTCAGGCCATTGCACTTTTTGCTCCTTTGACTTGTTTATGGCTTGCTTCCTTATTTCTTCAGTTCCCTACCTAAATATCACTTATCCATGAGTCCTTTCCTTAGTTATCACCTATATAAAATAGTGTATCACCTACCCCCATTCCCTCTCTCTTAACCTGCTTTATGTCCATAGCACTTTTAACCATCATCATTCTCATTTTTTTACTTGTTTATTATTTATTATCTATCTCTTGTTTGTCAATTTGAATCCTAGCTCCAGGAGTGCAGGAACTTATCTTAGATTCACAGCTATATTCCCAAAACCTAAAGTAAAGTAGCATATATATGGCAGACATTTGTTGAAAGAATAAATTTCTGTTGTTTTCTGTACAGTAGTCCCGTTTATCTGTGATTTCACTTTCCATGGTTTGTTACCAGCAGTCAACCAAGGTCCGGAAGCAGAGGATCCTCCTCCTGACAAACTGTCAAGTCAATAGTAACCTAACGCCTCTATCATTCCCATCACATAATCTCACTAGGTAGGCATTTTATCATCTCATGTCATCACAAGAAGGGTGAATACGGTACAATAAGCTATTTTGAAAGAGAGACCACATCCACATAAGTTTTATTACAGTACATTATAATTATTCTATTTTTAGTTATTATTGTTATCTCTTACTCTACCTAACTTATAAACTAGACTTTATCATAGGTGTACGTTTAGGGAAAAACAGTATAGATAGGTTCAGTACTATCGGTGGTTTTCATTGTGGGTCTTGGAAAGTATCCCCCATAGATAAGGGAGGACTACTGTATAGTTTATTTTACCACCTCTCATTTTGTTTCATTGGTTCACTCAGTTGTCTGTGTAACAGATAATTATCATATTAGAAAAAAAGAGACAATATCATGTAAGAAAATGTAAAACTACCAGGCAAGTTGCCTCTTGGGATGAGCAGTCACAGGCTGAAGTGAGACCAAAGTCTGCATATTCAACTGTAGGAGTACTGGCATAGAGAGGGCAGAAAGCTGGATTTAACCAAGGTAGGATCTTCCCAGGCCAGTAGAAAAACTGAAGAGAAGGGATATTTGAAAAGTACATGGACCATGGAATACAAACTATTAAGGAAGGAGGATCTAAAACAGAAAATACAGTGAAAAGATGGAGGGATCAAAATACCATAGATTCTGATGGAATCAAACAATTGTAAAATCAACATCAAGAGGGAATAAGCTAGAAAGGAGATGGTGGTATTTTTGAACCACACAAACAACTAAAACTTCTTTTTTTTAAAGTTGATTTATTTTTTAGTAATCTCTATACCCAACATGTAGATTCTGAGATTAAGAGTCACACACTCCAACTGAAACAGCCAGGCCTTCCTAAATGTCTGTCTTCTGCTAAGTGTATTCTCCTTATTAAACTCTCCAAAAATCTGAGATTAAACAAACTCTAAGATCTCATTTAGCCAGCCCTGGAAAAAAAGCATTTTCTCAACAAACTTACATTTATTGATCAAGTACTGTTCACAGATCTCACTGCATATTCAAAGGCTTACTATGCATAGCCGTTAGATAAAAGTTTGAGATATCACTTCTTTAAATCTGCACACAAATCCTACTTCCCAAAATTCTGCTTTCGCTTACACATCAGTATTCCACCTACTTCCTACCTGTCTTCAACCCCAAACCTCTTCCCCTAGACACTTCATCCACTCACACAATTTTAACTTACAAATTTGTATTCTCCTGCTAATGCCTTTGCCAGCACTAAATCTTGAGTCCTTGTTTCCCAAATAACAACTAACCCCTTTGCCTTGAGCTCCAGTTTCCTAGGCTCCTGCATTCCTACTCACAGCAGTCTGACTATCTAGACATTAGCTGCTTACAGTAACCTATGGCCTGCTAGCCTGAGGTTTAAATGTAATTAAGGGTTCAAGTTTAGAATGCAGGTCTTCTTCTGGCTGCTTCTGTTTTAGACAAGAAGCACCCTTTTTCCTAAGACTAAACCTAGGACCCTATTTTTCACTTGTAACAATGGTTCAGAGGAATATCTATAGACTTTTGTCAGTAGGAACAACAGAATTCCTTGGCTATTTAAATCTCTGGATTCATTTTCACTCATAAATTCCTTTGCTCTAGGAAACTGATTACCATCCTGATCCAGCTAAACACAGTGACTTGATAAAACTACAGAAAAAGATAATGTAGATGGTGGGTAACAGCCACCCGGCTGAACTACTAAACACTTACCTGAAATTGATTAATAAAAGGTGCTATATTTAATCCAAGAGTGCGTTCTGTTCCTTGAACAGCACTCTCTTCTACCAGTGTCTGTGATTCCACAAGCAACCCAAACATCAGCACATACTGAGGAAAGATCTTGCCTCCAGATTGTAGCAAACACCTAGAAAAGGAAAAATCTTTTAAAAAGCATCTTGATTCCCTACGTTTTATAAATACCAGTAACTAAATCGTAATGAATCGGCGAGCTACAGATTGTACATAATCTAATAGACTTTATGTTATTGGCTGGTAGTTCAGAGTGGTAAACCACTGGAAATAATTTCCCAACAAGTCAAGGTGGCTGCTGATCCATGAAAGAGAAAAATAACCAGCTGGCTGGATGGATATGTCTTTAAGATTTAGGAAGAGTCATCAATGGATATTAAAACTAGTGAGTGAAAGTTTTATTAGGAAAAAGATTACAAAGTCTCAAAGTACTGCCCCCCTCCCAATGACATACTCATTACAAAGGGAAACACAGCAATTTACTGTGGAAAAACCTGGTGGATACAACTTAAACCAACTGATCTAAATTAACATCAACAATAATGGGATAAAGCAATACTATGTGCCTCCTAATATGACAAAACTTCCGTAACTTCCTCTCTAAAATGGATAATCCAAATCTAATTAAGAACAAAACAAAGCATGAGGAACATTCTACAAAATAAATGGCCTACACTCTTCAAAACTGTTAATGTAAGAAAAACTCAGGAACTGTTCCAGAATTAAGGAGACTAAAGAGAAAGGACAACTAGGGCGCCTGGGTGGCTCAGTTGGTTAGGCGACTGCCTTCGGCTCAGGTCATGATCCTGGAGTCCCGGGATCGAGTCCCGCATCGGGCTCCCTGCTTGGCAGGGAGTCGGCTTCGCCCTCTGACCCTCCCCCCTCTCATCTGGTTTCTCTCTCTGTCAAATAAATAAATAAAATCCTTAAAAAAAAAAAAAAAAAGAAGAAAGGACAACTAAATGCCATGTGTGATCCTCAACTGGATTCTGAACCAGAAACAAAAGCTATAATGGCTATTATTGCAACAAACGGTGAAATCTAAGTAAGACTATACACTAGATAAAGGTATTGTGGCCATCCTTCCTGATTTTGACAACAGTATGATGGTTATGTAAATGAATATCCTTGTTCTTAGAAATACACACCAAAATACTTAGGGGTTAAAAGAACATGATATCTGGAACTTACTCTAAATAGTTCAGAGAGAATAATAAAGCAAATGTGGCAAAATATAACAATTTGTGCATCTGGGTATAAGGTATATGTTAAAAGTTCTTTTTTGTTGTTGTTGTTAAAAGTTCTTTGTACTATTTTTTAACTTCTCTGTAAGCTTGAAATTATTTCAAAATAAAAAGTTAAACACTGAAAGAAAAAAATCTAATTAAAAATCCAAATGTTCTAGTAAAGAATGTGAGGAAGAGTGTGAGTAAAGGGTTAACAAAACCCATTCTCCTCCTACAACTGATCTTGGGTTCACCTTTTGTTTCCCTGGAAATCCCATAAAGGTGGAATGTCAGCTGTCTTAGTGTGATCAGCAACACTGCTTAGGATAAAGATTTTTTGAAATTGCGTCTTAATATAAGGTAGAGCACATTTAGACTGAGAGAACTATGAACAAACTATAAGCACCTGATGGGAAGCTGTATCATCTTTGGGCTTCCCTGAGGGTGGTGTATCTTGTAACCAAGTGTTCCTATTGCTATACCCATGGAAGGTATTAGTTCCTATGTGAAATTTAGGGCTCTTAAGCCAAGACAGCTCCTATGTTCACCTATACAATCTTATTTCCTCACACCTCAGCTGTGAGAAGCATCAAATGAAGCAGACTTGGAGGATACTTTAAAGGACTTTAAACCAAGTCATTATTTTCATTTGCCACATTTACAATCACACATTAAATCCCTCATTTTTACTGAATATTCTAAGCTGGTTTCCACCTGAACTTCTAGGACAAGCTATTCATAGACAAGTGGACTTCGTATCTTAATAGTAAATTTTTCCTCTTAAATACATAGAGTTAGTAAGGATCTATTTATAATAACACAAGGCTGAGGTTTGGTTTTGCCAAGACATTTGTGTGATCTAAAAAAAAATACTTCCTACAAGTTACTAAAATTTTATGCTATGTAGTTTCCCTGAATAGGTCATTAAAATCTTGACAAATTAAAAAACACCCATTCCTCAAAACCACTTTGGCACTTCTCTTAAATTAGTTTCAAATCATTAATTCTTCTGGCTTTTACTAAACTGATTCTCTCAACCATTTAAAAATACTGTATCTAAAACCAGAATGACAAACTATAACAAGACATGACAACTAAATGCAATGCAGGGCCCTTGATTAGAACCTAGATTGGGAGAAAAAAGAAATATAGGATATTACCGGGACAGCAGGGGAAATTTTAATATAGACTATATATTAAATAATAGTATTTTATCAATGCTAAGTTTCCTGAGTGTGATCTAACTGTGATATGTAGGGGGGGAAGCCTTTGTTCTAAGGAGACACACACTAAATGGTAAAGAGTGAAGGTTATAAAGACAAAACAACAGTCTTGTATTCACTGTTACTATTCTTGCAGTTTTTCTTAAGTTTGAAATTTTGAAATATTTTAAAATAAAAAGTTGATGGAAAAGTTAACAATAAGACTGTTCTTTTTTTTTTAAGATTTTTTTTATTTATTTGAGAGAGAGAGAGCGCACAAGCAGGGGAGAGGGGCAGAGGGAGAGAGAGAAGCAGGCTCCCCACTGAGCAGGGAGCCTGACGCAGGGCTCGATCCCGGGACCCTGGGATCACGATCTGAGCTGAAGGTAGACGCCCAACTGACTGAGCCACCCAGGTGCCCCTAAAAAACTATTCTTCTAACAGCTCTCCCTAAAGATTAACTAGCTAATCAGAAGCCATGTCATAATCAGGTCATCTGAAGAACATAAAATCAGCAAGGAGAGTTAGAGATGATTCCTAAATATAATGGCATTAGACTGATTGAGACAAGTCATGATCCTAAACCAGGATAGTCTCTCTTCAGTAAATATAAGTACATGATTATTTATGTTGTAATAAGTCTTATATATTACAGATCAGCCTTAAAAAGGGCTCCATCCTGACCCCAATGCTTTGCTTATTTTCATTACTGCTTTCCTATCAACTTCTAGTATTTTAGGTAAATTCTAGTAGAAATTAATCTCTACAATTAGTAAAATTACACAGCTCTTAACAAAATTCCCATCTATGTCTTTAGCAAACCAGATAAAAATTTATCTTCCAAAAAACTGGAGAAACCTGTTTCCCTCAAATGGGTAAGGTTTAATTCTGCAAATTTATGTTACTAAATTTTTCTAAAGTTATCTGCTAATTGTGATCCACTTAAATGGAACCAGATCTAATTTTTCTTTCAAGAGCACAAGATCTCAAATGACAAACTAGCCACAGAGCTTTATGCTGCTTGACTAATTCCCTCCATCCCCAGATAACCACAAGAGGGTACTGTACTATGAAATCTGCAAGCTGAAAAAGCATATAGGTTAAAAGTCAACCTTCTAACCATAAAAATCTATGGGAAAGAGGAAGGGAGGGCAATACATCAAATCATTTCAGAAAATCAGACTAAACAAAATATCAATATTTTATCTGCTGAAACTTAAAAAGTCAGAAAAGGTTGAATCAAGTACTATGGCCATGCCAGAGATAAATATTACACAAAGGCAGTATATGAAAATTATTTTAAAAGGCCATGGTCCTGCTATTTTAATCTAAAATCTTGTACAAATCCTTAACTCAATATTACTGTCACTAACAGGAATGCTTCTTAGTTGTGTTTAGATAAAACAGTAATGCCTTGCAACTCTGCTTAGCTTTACTGACATTGTTTTGTTGTCACTTGCACCACTGGAGCTGCCAGACTCCTCAGTGGAATCCTCTGCACAGCCAAATAATACTTCTGAACCATCTGTGCCTTTAGGAGTGAAAAAATACGTCCCAACTCAAAAGTCTAACCATAAATGGCAAAAATTCTGAAGAGAAGAAATTCTTCAGTTTCCTTGTGACCCAACACAAGATGTTTTTAAATGGGTTTAAATTAAAAAAAAAAAGTACCAAGCATTTAAACTTTCTCCTGTATTTTTAGTATGACTAAACATTTTAAAACAACTACAAAAGTAATTAGAAACTAAATACTTAAGTCTGTGAAATGACTCGTTTTCCCTTGCTTTTTTTTGGGGGGGGGGTGCTGGGAGGAGTTCCAGTGAGAGGGATGTCCTTATCCCAGATATAATCTATTCTCCCAATCACTAATTTCACCCTTTCACCAGTCATGAGACCTCCCCTCTGTTAGAGGCTAAAGAGGAGGCCTGTGTGAGAGCATCTGCATACCTCTGTCCCCAGAATCAAGATAAGCCTATCCATCCAGGTAAGGAGGTTGTACCACAGCTTGGGCTAAAGGAAAGAACCACTGGTTCCCCACTGTTACTCAGGAGGTGTTTGAAAGAATACTGGGTTAGGGGGAAGGGGGTGGGAGGATGGGTTAGCCTGGTGGTGGGTATTGAGGAGGGCACATTCTGCATGGAGCACTGGGTGTTATGCACAAACAATGAATTATGGAACACTACATCTAAAACTAATGATGTAATGTATGGGGATTAACATAAGAATAAAAAAAAAAAAAAAGAATACTGGGTTAAAACAATGATTACGGGCGCTACTAGCATTTACTGCCCAGAGATGCCAAACATCCTGCAATCCATAGGACAACTGTAAAAAACAAACAAACAAAAACAAAAACAAAACAAAACTGTCCCACTCAAACTGCCAATAGGACTCCTCCCCCTACCAAGAAACACGGAGGAGTTGGTAGCTTTTTTTTTTTTAAAGATTTTATTTATTTATTTGAGAGAGAATGAGAGAGAGAGAGAGCATGAGGGGGGGGGAGGGTCAGAGGGAGAAGCAGGCTCCCCGCTGAGCAGGGAGCCTGATGCGGGACTCGATCCCGGGACTCCAGGATCATGACCTGAGCCGAAGGCAGTCGCTTAACCAACTGAGCCACCCAGGCGCCCAGGAGTTGGTAGTTTTACATAAGTTGTTTCCCACTATAATAACTAATCCTTCACACAGAACACACTGTCTGCTAAATTGTTTTTATAACCAAAAATGCTTTTTAAAAATCCTTTAAAGGTTCCATGTAAATAAAATGTGACTGACTGAAAGCTCTTCCACTAAGATCAGGAACAAAACAAGGACACCCACTTTCACTACCTTCATTCAACATAGTCACTGGAAGTTCTAAATGAAGCAATCAGGCAAGAAAAATAAAGGGCATCAAAACTAGAAATGAAGAAGTAAAATTATCTCTGTTCACAGACATCATCATCATATATTTAGAAGCCCTAAAGATTCCACATAAAAATGTTACAACTAATAAATTCAGCAAAGTTTCAGGATATGAAATCAACACACACAAATTAGTTGTATTTTTATAATTAACATGAACAACCCAAAAAGGAAATTAAGAAAACAATCCCACTTACAATAGAATAAAAAATAAAAAAATACTTAGGAATAAAGTGAACCAAACAGGTTAAAGATTTGTAAACTGAAAACTACAAACATTGCTGGAAAGACACAAATAGGGCAACTGCATGGCTCAGGGTCCTGGGATCTGCTTGTCCCTCTCCCTCTGCACCCTCCATCCCCCTTCCCCACTCCTGCGCATGCATGCACACTCTCTCTCTCTCTGAGATAAATAAAATCTTTTTAAAAAAAGATACAAATAAACCAAAAGACATCCCACATTCATGGACTGGAAAAAATAGTTAAAATGTAAATACTACTCAAAGTGAGCTATACAGATTTAATGCAATCCCTATGAAATCCCAAGAGCATTTTTTTTTTAAAGATTTTATTTATTTATTTGACAGAGAGACAAGCAGGGGGAGTGGGAGGGAGAAGCAGGCTTCCGACTGAGCAGAGAGCCCGATGAGGGGCTTGATCCCAGGACTCAGGGATTATGACCTGAGCCGAAGGCAGACACTTAACGACTGAGCCACCCAGGCGCCCCCAACAGCATTTTTTTTACCAAAATGGAAAAATCTCTATCCTAAAATTCATATGGAATTTCAAGAGATCCAGAATAGCCAAAACAATCTTGAAAAAAAAAAAAATGGAGGTTTTACACTTCCCAATTTCAAAACATATTATAAAGTACAGGGAAAATAACCATATAAGCAAAATGGTGAATAGGAAGCCTCCGACTCACCTCTCCCCAGAGACACTTACTTAATAAAAACACACAGACTAAACTATTTCTGGGAGAGACGCAGAAACCAGTTAAGAGGTTCCTGTACCCCAGGCCAGTGCACAGCCAGAAAGAACTGCAGGGAAGATGGTAGGAAAATGTATCGCATTTACTTGCCATAGTCTCTTCCCCAGGCACCCACAGCACAGTGCAATCAAGAGAGAACTCCCAATTCCCAGTTTCTTGTGGGGGAGAAAAACGAGAAGAATGGAATGTACGTCATAACATTCTGACTTTTGGGGGGGGGCTGCCCAAGGGACTGGTTTCTCTCTTGCATGAACCTAAGCAGTGACAAAAAAACGGGAGTCAGGTTGGGGACCTCTGATAGATAAAGGAGATCACTTGGCTTGGTTAAGGAGCGGAGAGTGTGCAATACCACAGACAGACATCAGGGTGAGCTCTAGTACCATGACTTGCCATAGCACCAAGGAAGCTGCAGTACTTCAGTCAGAATTACCATATTAACTCAATTGCACCCCTAGATATGTATCAAAAGAACTGAAAGCAGAATCTCAGAGAGATGTATACACACTCATTTTCACTGCAGCATTATTCACAGTAGCTAAAAGGTAGAATAACTCAAATGTCCAACAACAGATGAATGAATGGCTAATGAAACTGGCATATTTATACAGTGGAATATTATGCAGTTTAAAAAAGAAGGAAATCCTGTTACATGTTACAACATGGATGAACCTCAAGGACATTATGGTAAGTGAAATGATTCTACATATGAAGTATCTAAAGTACTCAAAATAATAGAAACAGAAATTGGAAAGGTGGTTGCCAAGGACTCGGGGGCAAGGGGAATTAGTGTTTTGTGGTTATAGAGTTTTAGTTTTCCAAGATGAAAAAGTTCTAGTGATCTGCTGTACAACAATGTGAATACACCTTAGTACTACTAAACTGTATGTTTAAAACGGTTAAGATGAAGAATGCCTGGGTGGCTGTCAGTTAAGCATCTGCCTTTGGCTCAGGTCATGATCCTGGGGCCCTAGGATTGAGCCCCCCTGTGTCTGATTCCCTGCTCAGCGGGGAGTCTGCTTCTCCCTCTCCCTCTGCAACCCCCTCCCCTTGCTCTCTCTGTTGAAGAAATAAAATCTTTAAAAAAGTGGTTAAGATGATATATATAATTTAATATTGTTTTTTACCACAACAACAAAGAAATAATTAGTCGCTTAAAAACACATTTATTATAAAGCTACAGTAATCAAAATAGGATGGTAATGGCATAAAGACTAGACATGTACATCAACGATAATAGAACTAAAGACCTCAGAAATAAACCTTGACATATATGGTAAAATATTTTTTCCCAAGGGTGTCAAGACCATTCAATGTGGAATGGATGTCTTTTCTACTAACAGTTGTTGGGAAAACTGGGTATCTATTGTCAAAAGACTGAAGCTGGGCTCTAACTGAATGCCATATACAAAAATTAAATCAAAATGGTTCAAAGACCTAAATTTAAGACCTAAAACTATAAACATTCTTAAAAGAGAACATATGAGAATGGCTTTAGGCCACAGCATCTGACAATGATTTCTTGGAAATGACACCAAAAACAGGCAATAAAAGTAAAACAAACAAAGTGAACTGTATAAAAAATTTAAATTTCTGCATATCAAAAGATATTATCAATAAAGTAAAAAGGCAACCAACCCACAGAATGGGAGAAAATATGTCAGTGATGTGATAAGGGATTAATATCCAGCTACATAGAGAATTCCTAAAAACTCAAAAAAAAAAAAAAAAAAAAATCTGACCCAAAAACTGGCAAAGAACTTGAAGAGACATTTTTCCAAAGAAGAAATACAAATGGCCAATAGGCACTCAGATCTGAACAGCACAACTAAAGGACCTTGAAGCTTAGTCAAATTTGCTTTCAATATTAAATATTAGGGTCAAGTTTGCCTCCAGCAATCAACACTGAAGGGAAAATACCTTGGGGAGAGAACTGTATTATAAAATAAAGATTTTAAGACCTAAGATGACTGGGGCTTGTTTATAAGCAGCACTTTGCTCTCCCAATATACCATCAAATGTGTACTACATGTTTCTTAAAGATACTTTTTTTTTAAGATTTTATTTATTTATTTGAGAGAGAGACAGAGTGACAGAGATAGTGAGAGAGAGCATGAGCAGGGAGAAGAGGAAGAAGCAGGCTCCCCGATGAGCAGGGAGCCTGACGTAGGGCTCAATCCCAGGACCCCGAGATCATGATCTGAGCCAAAGGCAGATGCTTAACTGACTGAGCCACCCAGGTGCCCATTAAAGGCATTTCTTATAAAGATGAGATTTGATTTTTCCTTATTTACAGAGTATCTTTATCGTTCTTATAAATCTTTACTTAATTCTCTATATTATGTAGAGGCAGTCCAATCCCAAAGCAGGCTCTCTTCTTCACACCTACAGAGAAGGCGTTCCTTTAGATGAAAAAATGAATAATGACATGCACACAAAGAGAAAGGGATAAAGTCACATATCCTGAAAAGGAACACACGTAATCATGACTCATTTGTACAGCTATGCCATTAAAGAACTAAAAGAATTGACATGAATTCAAAAACCAAAAGTTGTATTTTGTATTTTACCTGGATATTGCTGCTTTTTCCATTATTTCCTGCTGAATGAGCCCAGATGGCTCAATGACATCCAATATAATTATACTCCACAGCTTGTCTGATTTTGGCCTTTGCAACACAGCAGATTCATCTTCCACATGTCTCAACCAAAACTCAAGTGTTTCTTTAGGAAAGTGATTGGCTTCAGATATGAGGTCCAGAGTGATACGATGCTGGTCTTTCTCCACAGAACTGTAAGGTTTAACCTGCCCAAGTGTGCCAGCAATTAAGGGCAGAACAGAGAAGCCTTCAGACACATCTAACACATAGAAAGGTTCAGGGATGCTCTCTTCAGAATTACTCTCTTCGTTTCCGCAGCTCATCTCATTCTGACACTGAGTGTCCATGGCCTGACACAGTTTCTCTGGAGTCAACGAAGACAACACTCTTCTCATTGCCATTTTAAAGCCTTCATGATAGAGGTTGTTATTAAGCAAAGCAATTTCTGTGGATTCCAATATACATGTCTGCTCCACAGCATCTGGTTTACTGGTCTGAAGGTTAGCCAGGGCATTACAGAGTTCAGCCTCCCCTCCTAAAGACATCAAGTCTTTATCCTGGGTAAAATTTTTTCCAGCACCCACTTCATGTTCCGAACCAAAAACACTGATATTCTGGATTCTTAAGTAACAATCTTGACAAGACACTTCCATCATCACATGGTCCCCAGGTTTTATCCAGTAGTCTCCGTAAAATAGTAAGAAAGAAAAACGAATTGTAATTGATGAATATATTTATAAGTCTGAGGATCATACAAACACTTCCACCCTCCCCCCATTTTGAAATCACTACAGGAAAGATTGTATCTATTGATTTAATAGAAATAAAATTAATTTATTCATTTCCTACAAAACACCAGGAAAAATCCCTCCAGCTTTCTTGGCCAAAACCTTAAGTTTGAAGACAATTAACTCATGGCATAACAGAGAGATTCAAGAGCTCCATTACTGAACCCCAACTATTAGTACCATAGTGCTTTTAGTGCAATCAGTAGGTATCATCATCCCCATATTAGGGGGTGGGGGAAGGGCTGCAGGGGACTCTTAATCTTCTTCAGTAATGAAGCCAACAATAACAAAGATAAATCAAAATCTGGGGTCAATACCAAACCCTCACCCTAGCTGAAAGGGACATTCTTTTCTCTAAGAGAAATTTCCGAAAGACCAAGGCAGCATTTAATAGGATCTTATCAGTAATATTTCTAACTCTAAGTATTTAGACACTTGCATGTTTAGGAATTTGACAATATATGGAAGGACTAAGTCCTACAATAAAGATATAAAGCTCTTATCCATGAACTTTCAAACTCAGTAAAACTTTAAAATGTAAATGTAGGGGCACCTGGGTGGCTCAGTTGTTAAGCATCTGCCTTTGGCTTGGGTCGTGATCCCAGGGTCCTGGGATCGAGCCCCACGTCGGCCTCCCTGCTCAGCGGGAAGCCTGCTTCTCCCTCTCCCACTCCCCCTGCTTGTGTTCCCTCTCTTACTGTGTCTCTCTCTGTCAAATAAATAAATAAAATCTTTAAAAAAAATAAAATAAAATGTAAATGTAAAATCACAATTCCTTCTTATCAGCTTTAGAACCAGTTGAAAATACAGGTTATTCTTGTGATTACACATTTAAAATGTCCTTTCCCTAAAAAGGATTAAAAAAAAAAAGGTCCATGTGTCTAAGTAACTATAAGAAAGTTTGAATAAACAAAAATAACACATGAAAAGATGTTCAACATCACTCATCATCAGGGAAATGCAAATCAAAATCACAATGAGCTATCACCTCACACCTGTCAGAATGGCTAAAATAAAAAACACAAGAAACAAGTGTTGGCGACAATGTGAAGAAAAGGGAACCCCTGTGCACTGTTGGGAAAACTGTGGAAAATAGTATGGAAGTTCCTGAATAAATTAAAAACACAATTACCGTATGACCCAGTAATTCCACTACTGGGTATTTGCCCAAAGAATATGAAAACACTAATTCAAAGGGATACACGTACCCCTACATTCACAGCAGCATTATTTACAATAGCCAAGGTACAGAAGCAGCCCAAGTGTCCACTGATAGATGAATGGATAAAGAAGATGTGGTATAGAAGGGAGAGGGTGGGGGGGGAATGAGTTAAACAGGTGATGAGGATTAAGGAGTGCACTTGTTGTGATGAGCACCAGGTGATATATGGAAGTGTTGAATCACTATATTGTACACCTGAAACTAATATTACACCGTATGTTAACTGGAACTTAAATAAAAAAATTTTTTTAAAAGATGTGGTATATAGATAAATTAGAATATTAGTCATAAAAAAGAATGAAATCTTGCCACTTGCAACAATATGGATGGATCTAGAGAGTATAATGCTAAGTGAAATAAGTCAATTAGAGACAAATACCATATTACATTCATATATGGAATTTAAGAAGCAAAATAAATGAACAAAGAAAGAGACAAATAAAAAAACAGATTCTTAACTATAGAGAACTGGTGGTTACCAAAGGGGAGCGGGCAGACAGATGGGTGAAATAGGGGAAGGGAATTAAGAGTATATTTATGATGAACACTGAGTAATATAGAAAATTAACGAATTACTACACTGATTATCTGAAACTAATATAACACCATATGGTAACTATACTGGAATTAAATTTTTTTAAATAAGATAAATAAACTCAAATAATAAATGCCACTTACTGAGTGCCAGTTGCCATGCTGCTGATAGGCATTTTACATCCATTCTGGTTATTATTATTTTTTTTTTAAGATTTTATTTATTTGTCAGAAAGAGAGAGAGATCACAAGCAGAGTAAGCAGCAGGCAGAGGGAGAAGCAGACTCCCCACTGAGCATGGAGCCCGACGCGGCACTTGATCCCAGAACTCTGGGATCATAACCTGAGCCGAAGGCAGACGCTTAGCTGACTGAGCCACCCAGGCGTCCCTTATCCATTATTTCTTAAAATCCCTACAACAATCCTGCAAGGTAGATAGCATCATCCTATTTTTGTGTATCACATAATAAAAGCTCTGAGACATAGTCAGCAAGGCCAGCCAGGGAGTCAATAAGTAGCAGTGCCAGGGCCTGAATCCAAGTCTACCTGACTGACTCCAAAAACACCATACTAGCCACACCACTATACTCATTCCAAGACTTAACGATCTTGCCAAATTAGATCCTTGACTAGGAAACTACACAGAAACAGAAACTTATTACCTCTCCCCCCCATTTAAAAAAGGTAGAATTTTTCTATGAAATATAACTTATGTGAATATACTGAAATCCATCAAATTGCTGGTAAAAAATTTCTATACAAAAAATATCTTTAACATAGAACTTCCCTAGGGAAGTCCATGAATTTATAAACCCTTTAAAACTTCAAAATTTTGTTTTATATGTGTGTGTGCACCTTTATGACCTGGGACTCCACAGATTCTGTAAGCAGCAAGAAGAACTCCTACACTAGTACTTTTCCACTGTTGTATAAATAATGGACTAGCATTTCTCTTATCTACAGATAACTAGAGTAATCAGAGCTGAAGAAATGATATTTTTAAAATATTTATTTATTTGAGAGAGCTTGCATGTGAGAAAGGGGAGGGGCAGAGGGAGAGAATCCCAAGCAGACTCCCACTGAGCGCAGACCCCCGACAGAGGGCTCAATCTCAGGACCCAACACCATGACCCCAGCTGAAATCAAGAGTCAGACACTCAGCCAACTGAGCCACCCAGGTGCCCCAATGATAGACTTTTTTTTTTAAAGACTGTATTTATTTATTTGACAGAGAGAAACACAGCGAGAGGGAACACAAGCAGGGGGAGTGGGAGAGGGAGAAGCAGGCTTCCCACGGAGCAGCGAGCCTGATGTGGGGCTCGATCCCAGGACTCTGGGATCATGACCTGAGCCGAAGGCAGACGCTTAACGACTGAGCCATCCAGGCACCCCGCAATGATAGATATTTTTCAGTAGTATGCAGCAATTATGTTTTACTTTTCTTAACTACATATATTAATTATTTAAAACTACTTTTTTAAAAAGTAAGTTCTGGGGCGCCTGGGTGGCTCAGCCCATTAAGCATCTGCCTTCCGCTCGGATCATGATCCCAATGTCCTGGGATCGAGCCCCACATGGGCTCCCTGCTTAGCTGGGAGCCTGCTTCTCCCTCTGCCCCTGCCCCTGCTCATGTTCAAGCGCACTCTCTCTCTCTCTCAAATAAAATCTTTTTCAAAACATAAAAAGTTCTGAAAAATTTAACCAATCTCCCTTGACTGGAAACTTCATATTCAAAGTAAATTTTTTTTTTTTAAGATTTTATTTATTTATTTGAGAGAGAGAGAGAATGAGAGAGAGCACATGAGAGGGGGGAGGGTCAGAGGGAGAAGCAGACTCCCTGCCGAGCAGGGAGCCCCACGCGGGACTCGATCCAGACACTCCAGGATCATGACCTGAGCCGAAGGCAGTCGCTTAACCAACTGAGCCACCCAGGCGCCCCCAAAGTAAATTTTTTTTACATGACTTCAAATGCTTAGAGGATTAAAGCAATAAGATTAAAAAACAAACAAACAACAATTAGATAAGATATACCTGCAAGGTCATGTACAGGGTAGACAGCCTGTTCCCAACATGTTTCCTCACTAGGACTTGTGGATAAACTGTGTTCATCATCAAGCTGGAGTACAAACCAAACCACAACAGCATCTAGTATGCCTTCTTTAATAACAGGAATACCAATTTTACCAGGTTTTTTAGTTGCAAGACTTTTTAATTCCTGACAAAAATGTAAAAGGAATGAAAACATTTTATATACTTAACATACACATGCCCCAATATTACATCACTTTCCATTTCTCTAATTCTCAGATCTGCCCAGCATCCTTAGGAAAATCAGTATCTTGACACACTTACAGCCATTTAAGGCATACTGGATGAGAAGCTCCCATCTATCATAGTGGAATACTGTGCAACTATTAAAAACAATGAGGCAGATACATAATACTGATGTAGAAAGAAGCCCATGACATATTATTGAATGAAGGCAGTGAGTGGCAAACAAACAGATTTTGTTTTTTAAAAAGCATGTGTGTGTGTATAGAAGAACAGAAAAGCAAGTCTGAAAAGATGTACTTCAAATTGGTGATCTGGGGGAAGTAGGACCTAGATTTTAGAAAGGAAGACATACACTTTTTCTTTTCTGTTCTTCATTACTTGAAAGTGTTAAACAAGCAAATATTACTTCCAAATTAAAGCCTTACTAAGGTGGGTTTTTTTTTTTAAACTGTGGCAAAGAAAAATTAACGTAAGAAAAGTTCAAAATAAGAAAAGGACAGCTTTGGGGTATTTGACATCTATAACTGTGTTGTTCCCCTCTGTACCATTATATCAGAAATGAAAGGCTCTTGAAGCTCAGCCTCAGTAGGTAATGTCAAAGTGTTAATGTAGCTCCAAACCACCTCAAGAAGAACCTAGTAGCAATTAATAGGGGATTAAATTTTATTAAATTTATTAAATTATAAAGATCGTAGGCTAAAATGACCCTTACAACGTCTTCTGTCCCCAGGCATGTCTCATCTAACCTTAAAGATCTTCAGAGAAGGACTCTATGGAACCTTTCTCAATTTCCTTGGGTACTTTCTTTATGCAGCACATCTGCCCACCACTCACCAATACACACACAGATAGATACATAGGGTGACCAACTTCTCCTGGTTTGCCCAAGACTGTCCTAGTCTAAAACTGCAAGTCTCATGTCTTGGGAGCCTCTCATTTCTGGGAAAACTGATTTGGGTGATCACCCTAATACAGATACAATCTGAAGATCTGGATTACTGTTCGTTTTCAAGGAATACTGTTAACTTGAAATGGCAGCATGACATTGAGAAAGTCAGAAAGCTCTAGGTTGTAACTCTTGCATTCACACCTGCATAATTTGGGGAAAATTAATGTAAGCAATAGTTCCCTCATCTATATAGCACAAGGATAATTATAACTATAATTATAATTGCAACACTGTTGTAAAAGAAATCTAAGAACTCATGTGAAAGAACCTGGCACATTATACATTCCCAACAAACCTCAGGGATTTTTTTTCCTATGTATTTAAAGTAAGTACATAATTTCAAGAGAAAATACTGGTTACCATTTAATCATTTTCCTTATATATAGTAAGTAGAATCCCATGCAAATTCATAAAATAAGACTGTGCTATGTATTACTTTAACAATGCTTGAAATTTAATGCTCAGAAATTGTAACTGAATTTTTTTTTTTTTTACCTGAAGATTGTTGAAATCTACTGTCATAATCTGAAAGCACTCTGTCAAAGCCAAATATCCTCCAGGAACTCGACTCATCTTTTCAGTTGTATATGGTTCAACTGTCTCTTCAGCATCTACAGAAGAACAAGCTGGACTCTGAAATTTCACATTTGTTGGTAAACAGATCCCAGCAACATTCTTAGTACCCACCCTGGTAGGAGGGAAAATAAGAAAGGGAAGGGAGAAAGATGGTTTCTTTGTGTTTTTTTTGTTTTGTTTTGTTTTGTTTAGAATCAAGTAACACCATCTAATATTGAGTCCAGAAAAAATAAACATAAAAATGAAATAAAACTTCACTAACAGAGGTTTAAACACAATTACATACACAGCCACTAACTATAAAAGAAAACAAATGACAAATAGGTCTATATTGAAATTAAAAATTCTTTTCATCAAAAGATACTCAGCTTTCAGAAAGTACAAAGGTACACGGAGTAGAAGCAATTTATAATACATCTATTCAAAAAAGGGCTCTTATCCAAAATATATTTTTAAATTTCTACAAATAAAAAAAGGGCAAAAGACACTTCCTTCCCTGTGTGATTAACATTTTTCCTTTTGTAATAAATAATTTGTGAGAAGATACTTTTAAACTTATAAATATCTTGACCTTCAATTCAACTTCCCCCCTTTGATTTGATCCATTCATAATTTTTGTTCCTATCTTTACATGGGGATTGCAAACAATAACTCTGCAACATTTGTTATTAGTCAACATTCTACTGCTGGAAAGAACTGTCCTTTTGTCTCCATTTATGAATTTATTAATCTATTTATTATAAGTAGGAACTCACGGATTCTTATTTTACTCAATGGGTTTTAACTGATAAATGCCCTTATATATTTATGTATGTATTTGGTGCTTAATTTGTCTCAGATTTGGCCAGTGGGAGACCCTTCCAAGCATGCTTCTATGTCCTCTTAATGGCCTATAATTTTTTTTGAGTACTTCCTTAATTTCTGATGCAAAATGTTTCAGAGTCATCTTGAATCTGTCCTACCCTAGTCCTGGAAGCAGCCATTTCTCCAAGGAGCTATATATAGTTCCTTTTGGCAAGGAATGGAATTTAGAAACCAAGACCTAAGTGCCAGGTATGCTCATTGCTCCTAGGATCATACCTTGTCTTTTTCACTTAATAGTATATTATGAACTTCTTTCCATGTCAGTACATGTACCTTAAACAATTCTTTTTGACACTTACACAGTACTGCACTGGGTGAATGTTTTATCAAAAATTATTGAAATATTTTCTTACTAATAAGCCTTCAGATAGGTTTTCCCAATTACAGCATTACAGTAAACATCCCTGTACACGTATCGCTGTACACACCAGAAGTAGAAATACTAGGTCAAGGACTATACAGATCTTTAGTTTTGTTAGATAATGCTAAATTGAACTACTAAAATGTTGTACTAACAGTATGTAAGTTTTCCCCACACCTGTAAGAAAATAGGATGTTATCATTTTTAATGCTTACTAATATAAATATTCAAAAAAAGTTATATTGACTTAACTTCCATTTCTCTGATTAACAGACAATTTTAAGGATATTAATGTTTTGTTGCAAAAGTTGCAAATTTTTATCTCAGTCTGTCAACTGTCTTTTAACTTTATTTATACTATCTTTCACCAGATATATTAAAATCTTTTTAATGTGGTCAAATTTGTCAATCTTTTATAGCTTCTAGACTTTATCCTGTGTTTTCCTTTGGAAAGCTTTCCATCTCTCAATGGATTTTCTACACCTATTTAATTCATCTTGAATTAAAAAAGAATCTAATGTTCTTCCCCAAATGAAAAATATCATCTCTATCTCCATTCATCCATTCTCTGCTGATCTGAACACCACCTCTGTATCATTACTAAATCCCTATAAATTCCAAGGTCTGTATCTGTACTTATTGTGTTCCACTGATCTATTTTTCTATTTCTGCATCAGTGTTTTTTATTTCTAGAGGCAAATGTCTCATTTTTCTTGGCTATTCTTAAAACATTTGCTTGTTCAGATAAGCATAAGATTCAACTTACTAGGTTCCAAACTAATTTGGTTCCAAACACTGTTTCTACCAGGGCCACCTGGGTGGCTCAGTTGGTTAAGCGTCTGCCTTCAGCTCAGGTCCCGATCCTGGGGTCCTGGGATCAAGCCCCGAGTCAGGCTCCCTGCTCCGTGGGGAGTCTGCTTCTCCTTCTCCCACTGCCCCTGCTCTCTCTCAAATAAATGAATAAAATGTTTTAAAAAAAAATTGTTTCTACCAGGGGTGCCTGGGTGACTCAGTTGGTTGAACATCCAACTCTTGGTTTCAACTCAGGTCATGATCTCAGGGCTGTGGGATCCAGCCCCACATTGGGCTCTGCCCTCAGTGTGGAGTCTGCTTGGGATTCTTTTTCCCTCTCCCTCTGCCCCTCCCCCTGCTCATGCTCACTCTCACACTCTCTCTTTCTCTCTCTCAGATGAATAAATAAATAAAATCTTAAAAAAAAATTGTTTCTACTAGATAAAATAGTAGAACTAATCTCTATATTTTCAACACCTTTCTTCATGGTCCTCAACCCACACTGCTGAGCTTCATGAAAAATAAATACCAGGCCTCACTCACCCAAACCTACTCAAACAAAATGTATGGCATTTTTATTTTTACAAAACCTGCTCTGGTGCTTCTGTTGTATAGTCAGGCCTTTATTTGCTATATAAATGAATCAATGATGAGGGGATCCTTTTTCAAAATGATAGATACCAGTCAATTTCTATTTTGCTCAGACAAACAAATTTAGTGACTTACCTATAAAATATAAAGAGAAACTACTAATGGCAAAGAATCTAGAATCATGTTATACCAAGAAATCTCAGCAAGATACAACCTAGCTTTTCTGGTGGGCAATTCAGCAATGTGTCTCCACAAACTGAAAAATGTGCATACCTTTTAACTCAATTCTTTTTTTTTAAAGACTTGAACTCAATTCTTTATTAAGAAATTTATCCCAAGAAAATAATAAAAACAAGTCCACACAGACCTAAGTACAAAGATATTTATCCTTGTTCTTAAATGCCAAACAGTAGAAGCAACCTAAAAACTCTAAACTCTGAGAACTATAAGAAATTGGTTTTAAAAAATCATGAAGCATATCTATTAACATGAAGAGGCTCACAAAGAAAAAGCAAATATATTTACTGATACTTTTGAAACAAAATTAAGTTTATACACACACACATTTACTTACACAGAGCTGACACTCAACCAACACACTAATTCAGCCAATCTATTAATTAAGGCCACTGTCTGTCTGGTTGGTGCCCTATGCCCTACCGATAACTAAATATTTTTACTTATCACCCTGTAACATGCATAGAAAAGTAAAGAAGAGTATACAACAAAGATGAACAGTAGCTATCTATCGGTGAGGAGTTTAGGATAATTTTTATTTTCTTTTACTCATCACTATGTCTTAAAATATTTATATGTTACCTTTACTGCCATTAAGTTATTGAAGGGGGCCTCTTTAATCTATCACAAATAAAAAAAAATACTAAGTTGTATCAAAATCAATTTTCCACTAAAAAACTGAAAGCTGGTTTTAATTCTAGAGTTCACTTTATTTTTTTTTTAAGATTTTATTTATTTATTTGACAGAGAGAGAGAAAGAGAGCACACGCACAAGCAGAGGGAGAAGCAGGCTCCCTGCTGAACAGGGAGCCCGATGCGGGGCTCAATCCCAGGACCCCGGGATCATGACCTGAGCCGAAGGCTGACGTTTAACCCACTGAGACACCCAGTACCCCTAAAGTTACACTTTAAAAGTAAGAAAAAGGCAAAAAGGGAATTAAGACTGGAATAAACATCACTGAATTTAAAGGTCACAAAACTACAAATTCTCATCCAAATAAATATTCACTAAATAAAATTTCAAGTACAGTTTAGTCTTTAAAATTAATGTTTTCTAGTATTTGCTATTTAAATTATCACTTACCTATGATGTCTTCTTATCTCTGCACATTCTACTGCCATCCCAAATATCACAGCACTTGCTGGTATAACTTTCCCATACTTTTCACAATTACCATTTTCACCTCTGCTCTAAAATATAACAATAAAAATTATATTCAGTTACATGTATGTAAAAATATGTGTGCATAATTATGAGAAAGAAAATTAGTAAGAAAAAAACTTTAAAAGCAACAGGTAAGGATAAACAAGTTAAGGTATTTTTTTCTTTAAAAAGTTGTTTTGGGGGGGCATCTGGGTGGCTCAGTGGGTTAAGCATCTGACTCTTGGTTTTTAGCTCAGGTCATGATCTCAGGGTCATGAGATCTAGCCCTGTGTCGGACTCCATGAGATTTTCTCCTTCTCCCTCTGCCCCTCCCCCTACTCGCAAATGCTCTCCCTATCTCTCAAATAAATAAATGGATAAATAAATAAAATATTTACAAAGTTTCTTTTGGGGCGCCTGGGTGGCTCAGTCAGTTAAGTGTCTGATTCTTGGTTTCAGCTCAGGTCATGATCTCAGGGTCATGAGATAGAGCCCCACATTGGGGCTGAGCTCAGAGTCTGCTTGAAATTCTCTCTCTCCTTCTCCCCCTGTCACTCCCCCCATTTGCTCCCCCCTCCTCTCTAAAATAAAATAAGTAAAATCTTGTAAAAAAAATTTAAAAATTAAAAAGTTTCTTTTGTGGGGTGCCTGGCTGGCTCAGTCGGTAAAGCATACAACTCTTGATCTCAGGATTGTTGAGTTCAAGCCCCACATCAGGGTTAGAGATTGCTTAAAAATGAAATCTTAAAAAAAAATGCAATTGAAAAGCTTCTTTTGTTAACTAAACTTATTGTGGTGATCATTTCACAATATATACAAATTTTGAATCACTACATTCTACACCTGAAACTAATATAATGTTATATGTCAATTATACCTCAATAAAAAAAGCTTGAATATTACTCAGACATAAAAGAGAAAGAAATTTTGCCATTATCAACAACACGAATGGATCCAGAGTATAATGCTAAGTGAAATAAGTCCAAGAAAGGGGCGCCTGGGTGGCTCAGTTGTTAGGCGTCTGCCTTCAGCTCAGGTCATGATCCCAGGGTCCTGGGATCGAGCCCCACATCAGGCTCCCTGCTCAGGCTGGAAGCCTGCTTCTCCCTCTCCCACTCCCCCTGCTTGTGTTCCTGCTCTCTCTCTCGCTCTGTCAAATAAATAAAATCTTTAAAAAAAATAAATAAATAAGTCCGAGAAAGATTAATACCATATGATTTCACTCATATATGGAATTTAAGAAACAAATGAACAGCAACAAAAAAGAGATAAACAAAAAAACACTTAAATAGAGACAAACTGGTGATTGCCAGAGGGGAGGTGGGTGGGGGGATGGGTGAAATAGGCAATGGGGATTAAGAGTACACTTATCATAATGAACACTGAATAATGTACAGAATTGCTGAATCAGTATGTTGTACACCTAAAACTAATATAACACTGTATGTTCATTATACTTAAATAAAAACATAATAAATTAAAAAAATGGAGAACAATGAATGTGATGCCAAGTTAATACTAATTTTATTATTTTTTTAAAGTTTATTTCACTTTCATTGCTGTGTGTGTGTGTGTGTGTGTGGATACATATTTTTTTCAACAGTACAAATAGGAAGAGGAGGGCAACCATAAATCTGTATACAACAAAAAACTGTTGGGTATGACTCTAACTGAGAAGCCAAAATCACTATTACCTGCTTGAAAAACAAACTACTCTTCTTTTCAGCCTTTAATTAGGTACTTTTAATTCAAATCATTTCCTGTAAACAGTAAATTCTTATGACATGTTAAAAGACTCATTCACATGACATATTATAAAAACCAAATCCACAATTCATGGGCCACATTAGAGGATTTCATTGGAAAACACAATTTGGCAATTTAAACAGTTATTCCTGTCCAATCAGTTGGTACCTTAAAACCATACCAAGCCAGTTATCACTACACTCCCCCTTGATAGTTTGCCAAAAAAAATCTAAGCAGTGAAGGCTACTGAGACTGAAAGTACTTCCCCCTTCCTCAACCCTACTCAAGAATTCCACACTAGGGGCGCCTGGGTGGCTCAGTCGTTAAGCATCTGCCTTCGGCTCAGGTCATGATCCCAGGGTCCTGGGATCGAGCCCCACATCGGGTTCCCTGCTCAGCGGGAAGCCTGCTTCTCCCTCTCCCACTCCCCCTGCTTGTGTTCCCTCTCTCGCTGTCTCACTCTCTCTGTCAAATAAATAAAATCTTAAAAAAAAAAGAAAGTCCGAGTGCGACTTTAAAAAAAAAAAAAAAAAGAATTCCACACTATCTGTCCCACAATGTAACCTCAAATACTATGAATTCCTTCCTGGAGTTTTCTTTCCCTATATACCCCATATACAAATACATTACATTACATGATTAAACGGCTTTTTGCACAGATTTCTTTCCAACTACACAGTATGTACCTTGAGAGGAGGATGTATTTCATACTGCTTTGCAAGTACAGGAGGGGCTCAATAAATACCTGCTGAAATAATGAATTCTTAATCAAATTTAACTGTTATCATGCTGCTTACCTTTGGCTGCAAAAGTAAATGCTCCCATGCATGAATTAAACTCTCCACAATTCCTTCTCCAAATAAACCTGCATCGACAGTTTCTGTTACAACTAGGGACACTCTATAGAACGATTTTTTAAAGATACATGTAAGTAAAATATCATGCTATTTAAGTAAAGATGTCAAAGATGAGAGAACAAAGGAAAAGTGTATTATAGAAACAGTCCACATACAACATTTTCTCATACATTTCACTTTTTTAATATCTACCCTCAAATCTTAAGGAACTTGACTCTACTGTTCCACAGGCTCCTCTGTTCTCCACTGGCACCCTCCGGCCAGTGTGTGTGTCTGGGAGACACACAACCTTCACATGACCCTGGGGCCTCATCAGGCTATTCTTTCACTGCCTAAATCCTTAAGAGTGCTTCATACCCATTACCTTTACCAGTCCCCTCCTTAATGCTGAGTAAATGGATTTCTATCCCCAGTGCTCTATAAAAATATTCTCTATCATAAATAACTCCTCTCCTTGTCAAGATGAATAATTGTTCTCAGTTCTCACTTTCCTTAATCTACAAATAACATGTAATGTACCTGAGAAGACCTCCCTCTCAAAATCCTTTCTCTCCCTTCATTATCCATGTTTACGTCTTAACATTCATTGTAGCTCTCTTGTTGCTTCTCTTGCTTTACCTACTACCTTTGAGTTTTCACAAAAGCTTAAGTCCACAGAGGTGTGATCTTCTGACAATTCTTTCTAGAAAATTTCACCCAAAGACATATCAAAATAATTTCTCCCTTCTCTGAACTTCTTTAGCACTTATTGCCAGTATCATTTATTTAGGCAATTAGAAGATAAAGAAAATTTTCATGAATATTCCTTTTCTTCCTCTCTAGATTATAGGTGGCTTGAGGACAGAAAAAACTTTGGTATCCCCCATAATGCCTAAACCCAATACTATATAAATACACAAAATTTTCAATATTTATGGTTGCATACATTTAGAATGTGGAAGTATCTCAATCATCTAGTCCAACATCTTGAAATCTCTAGATTTGCTCAAGGTCAAAATAAATTAAAAACATAGTATTGGAATCCCTATCTCCTAATTCAAAACCCATAGGTCCTTCTATAACACTATCTGTGAGAGAAATGAAGGTTAAATCAAGGTAACTGATTCATGACATGGACTGAATTGTGTACCACCGAAATTCATAAGTTAAAGCCCTAACCCCCAAAGTGACTACATTTGGAGCTAGGGTCTTTAGGAGGTAATTAAAGTTAAACGAGGTCATAATAACACTATCTGTGAGAGAAATGAAGGTTAAATCAAGGTAACTGATTCATGACATGGACTGAATTGTGTACCACCGAAATTCATAAGTTAAAGCCCTAACCCCCAAAGTGACTACATTTGGAGCTAGGGTCTTTAGGAGGTAATTAAAGTTAAACGAGGTCATAATGGTGGGGCCCTAGTGTGACAGGGCTGGTAGCCTTATAAAAGTGGAAAAGACACAGGCAATCTCTCTTTCTCCTCGCATGCACAGAGGAAAGGGCAGGAATGTAGCTGTCTGTAAGCTAGGAAGAGAGCTCTCACCAGAAACCAAATCTGCCAGCACCCTTGATCATGAACTTCTAGCCTCCAGAACTTCGAGAAAATAAATGTCTGTTGTTTAAGCCACCTAGTCTGTGGTATTTTGTAATGGCAGCCTGAGCGGACTCTGATAATTCAGGACACTGTTTTATTTCTATAAAATGTGTCTCTCTGCCTCAAAAATCTAGTAAGACTTCTTTCATGAAAATCAATGTAGAGCCCATTGAAAAGCATAAGTATTATGTAAACAAATATTACTATACATATGGAAGAACACTTTTAAAAAAACACAGTCCAAATGACAACAGAGTATAAAAGTCCTCTTTCAATATAAATTGAATTTAAGTAAGATGAGAAGACAGACCACCCAGGAGAGGTAGTAAAGAAAGTGCTACATTAAGAAAACTGTCTCTAAAATGATAGTGTTGGGCCAGATGATTTGTAAATCCATTCTAGCTCTAAAATTCCATCACCCTTGTGATATAGATTAAAGCAAGATGATATACTAAAAAGCCAAGACTTATAATATTCAAAGCATTTGAAGAACCCAGGCCAAAATACTTCGACAGCTTTCATTTTAGCCAAGGCTAACACAAAATATGACAAGTCCATCAAGCCTGATCTCCTCATGTATTATTTTTAACTACAATTTTTAAATAGTGACCACACAGGAGGTAGTATCCATTTTCGCAACCAGAATACTGAAATTAACAAAAGTAAAGTAACTTGCTAAAGGTCAAGTGTATTTAGTAAATCTCTTAACACCAGTTTCTTTCAAGATCTCTAAATATTTATCAAGAATATGACCATATTATGAAAATCCATCTTATGCTAAATGAGCCTATATTACTATCTTTACAATATCAGGGTTTTAGCTTTTTATTTGGGCTAGAAGCTCTAAACAGGAATATCTTAATTTTAAAAAAATTATAAAAACTAAAATTATATAAATATTATATAGCACCTTTCAGGAATGTGTTTTGGAATTTCTATGTCAAGTGACTTCATATGTAAGAGTTTGATTCCTGCTTCCATCTTGTTTGCTGCCACTACATCACAGGCAAGTTCATACATGGTCTTGGATAACTCGCAAGCATACACCGAGTGTGCTCCAGCTTTTTTAGCAAACATGCTGCAAGGGGAGAAAAGTGCTCCATCAATAAAAAATAATTCACTGTAGTATTTCAAATTTTAGTGGAATTATGATGCTTAGACATGGGGTTTTCCTCTTATTCTTTAACTAACACAACCATTATTCATTCCACATTAAAAAAATGAACCAATATTCGTATCAAGAAACAAATCATACAATAAATCATGACATTCGTGTTTTTAAGAAGACACAATGGGCATGGAAAATGTTGATAGGCTTTAATTTAGACAACTAGGTTCAACCAGAATGTTAATGCAAAAAGTACTCTTAAAAGGCATTATTCAAAATTTCAATAGTAACCCCAAATTCTTAGTAGTTATGTCTAGCTCTTGCTAAATTAAAGTTACAGTGAAAAATACAATAAAGGTAGTTGCATGAATAATCACAAGATTATGAGAAATAAGCTCTATTTTTAAATTCCACTGTTAAATTTTCCATATTTGGTAAAAAGCTTTAATTTACCTTAGTATATATGTGCATATAATTAAAACACAATTACAACAAACCTTAGAATTCCAGTTCCTGTTCCAATGTCCAAAACACTCTTGGACCCCAAACAAACTGCATTTTGGATTGCTGCGTTATAAATCGTATTCCTTTTGGTGTCATTAAGCATGATAAAGTGCCAGCGTTCCACTAACCAGTTTGCAACACGATAAAAATTCTCCTTTGCATCACTGAAATCAGGATTTAGCTTCACTGCTTTATGAAAATACCCAGCTGCTTCATCTCTAAAGCCCATTCTACAGTAAAAAATGACAGACAAAATATTCAATTATTATGATATCAATTACTGTGTCTTTGTTCATGCCACTCATCAGGCCTGAGAACTTCTCTCTCCAGCACCCCAAATCCTGCTCAACCCAAGCACCATCACCTTTGAGAAGCCTTTTGTGAGGATTACAATCCTTGATGATTTTTTTTTTCCTTTTTGAACCCTTATTGTATTTATGAATTCTAGGAGGCTGACTATAAATTACTATTGTACTAAAGAATAGCAGGAGCTCTGAGTCATCCTGCATTTAACCAACTCACTAGAAAGCCAGTGCTTTCTAAAAATCATTCCCTGTGTAAAACATACTAATGCCTATAGCTAGTAGGCTTCTCTGTGGTGTGCCTCTATACCTTTTCTCTCAGTAACTGAGTGAATTATCAGTTGTGTTTGCTGCTAGACCAGTTTATACCTGTTGTACTTGTTATTATAATTACATATTTTAATTAAATATTATAGAAACTAAATAAATAAAACTGCAAAGAGAGAGCCGTTGTTTCTGAGGATATTAAGCTAAACGCTTTGGCAAAAATCAAAGGTGAGTCACCCAAAAATTACTACTGAATGAGATGTGAGCAAATCAACAATAAAAGGGGGGAAAACAACCAACTATCTAGAACTTCCTGAACTTTCTGTGGTGAAGAACTCATCTCCCCTTTTTTAAAATATCTAAATATTTGTAGACCAATACAATTCTACTGCATGTGATGAGCATGCAACTCACACATCAGATTTCAGCAGCACTCAAACTGGTCCACATTCCCTTCCACAAGTGAGCTTCCTGATCACATGCTTGGATTTAAAATATCAAACTGCTATATACATTTCTAAATGCTTACTCTCAATTTCTAACCTATCTGTTACTAACTGATAATTTGTGGACCTGCCCCAGTGTGTGGTCCACAAATTGAAGAGAAATGAGCTAGTAAAACCCTTTAACACTCATACTTCTTCACAAGAACCTTTAAGAATTTTTTTTTTAAGATTTTATTTATTTATTTGACAGAGAGAGACACAGCGAGAGAGGGAACACAGCAGGGAGAGTAGGAGAGGGAGAAGCAGGCTTCCCGCTGAGCAGGGAGCCCAATGCGGGGTTGGATCCCAGGACCCTGGGATCATGACCTGAGCCACAGGCAGACGCTTAACGACTGAGCCACCCAGGTGCCCGAACCTTTAAGCATTTGAAACCAAATCAGACTATTCATTCTAGGTATGGTTTACATAAAAAAAAAAAAAAAAAAAAAAAAAAAAAGACATTCTGGAACTCCAAACAGGGAACTACACTCTTAACAAAAGGTAATGGCCCTATGTCAAATGATAGGCACTTGTGTTTTAGGTTAAAAAAAAAAATGTTTAAGGTTAGTATCTGTTATTTTTAAGTATCTTGAAGACAGGATTATCTTACTCTTATTCTGCAACTGACATTGCACACAATACAATACAAAACACATCTTAGGGGCACCTCGGTGGCTCAGTCGTTAAGCGTCTGCCTTCAGCTCAGGTCATCCAAGGTCCTGGGATCCAGCCCCACATCGGGCTCCCTGCTCAGCGGGAAGCTGCTTCTCCCTCTCCCACTCCCCCTGCTTGTGTTCCCTCTCTCGCTGTGTCTCTGTCAAACAAATAAATAAAATCTTAAAAAAAAAAAAATTTTTTTTTAAAACACATTTTACATAATCATCAGTTGGTGAGACAAACCTAGCAATGGATATTTTAAAATGTTTAAATATCAACAATCTGCTGAATCAATGCCAAACCTGCCCCTAATAATTTTCTGGGGTTTGTGCTTCCCTTAAGTTTGATTCTTAACATATCATTCAGTTTTCTTAAACCGTAATGATAATCTGAAAGATATATGGTCCACTCAATTAAAGTTTATCTCATATTGATAAGACTCAACAAGTGTGTCAGTATCAACAAACTATAAAATCACCTTTCTTCTTTTAACTAGAAAAAAAAATTACCTTCCCAATTAGCAACTTAAATATGTTTTGTATCTGCTTTTGATGAGAAAAGTAGAGAGGACAAAAGCTAAGAACCACTGTTGTGGAGAACAAAGACAAACTGTATAGCAAAAGCCACATTCACACTATCACAAGTTCTGAATTTTCAATGTCTAAATTAGAAATTTTGCATAATTACACCTCCTGAAGCAAACAAGCATTTTTTTGTCTCAGTATCTGGTAACTGCTCAGACTAATACAACAATAGGTCACCAAGTTACAACCTGTCAAAAGTGTGTAGAGCTCCAATTTTCTGTTGAATTGAGTTTATACTTAAACATAAGTTTTAGAATGTTATGATCATTATGTCATATTATCTGGAAATATAATTGAATCCTATAGACTAACTCCCCTTATATGGACTGAAGAACTAAAGAAAATTTTGAAATTAAAATGTAGATTTTTAACTAATGTGACAAATTATTTAAAAAGCTTTTTAAGGGTGCCTGGGTGGCTCAGCTGGTTGAGCGACTGCCTTCGGCTCGGGTCATGATCCTGGAGTCCCGGGATCGAGTCCCACATCGGGCTCCCTGCTCAGCGGGGAGTCTGCTTCTCCCTCTGACCCTCCTCCCGCTCGTGCTCTCTCATTCTCTCTCTCGCAAAAAAAAGTTTTTTAAATTAAATTTCATTTAAAGGGCAAGTAATTGCTAATTAGTAGAGATGGAATCTGTGTACCAGGATCAGGTTAGCTGTTAGTGTGAGCAAACAAGCCTCAGTTGACAATCTGCCTCATTCTCCTGGTTATTATCATACTCCACAATTAGAAACTATCAAATATTTGTCTCTTAAAGGAGTACTTATTTCATTCCCCCAAGCCATGTTGATTAAGACTATTAAACTGTATACAGCTACATCACTGAGCCTAATTCATTTTGATAAAGGTACTTCTTATATAGAACTTTTCATTGAATAAAACTTAACATGACTAGATGAACAAAGCAATAATACTAGAGGACAACAGCTGGAACATGTAAAATGATCTCACTATATAGAATAGGACATTATCATGGTGTTTCTTAAACAAGAAGTCTCCTTCTATTTTGTACAAAGAAGTGAAACCAAATTTATTAAAACAAATCTACAACAAAAATTTGGAGTTTTCATGTTTTCCTAATTATACAGTTTCTATGGTGAATGGACAGAATTTCCAATGGCAAGTTTCCAGCCAGATCCGGAGACCGGATTCACAAGTTCCCTGGCAAGGTACCACAGTGACTTACTTCACTGCCATCCTGCAATCCACACCTATGTCCTGTCCAACAAGGTCTCAATTTTAGCCCAGTGAGGGGAACTCTTCCTTAGATACTTTGTGGTATACAATATAATACTAAAATTAATCTGTTATTACATACTGTATTTGCTATTCTTATATTCTTCTGATCCCCGGTCACAGTTAATAATTCTTTATATTAAACTTTCCTTTTCAAACTACTGTGTGATTTATCCCTGATCAAGACTGATACAGAATAATTCTTAACAATACTGAAAATCACTACAAACCTGAAGAGATGCTCCCCCATACTATTGCAAATCACTTCATCATCAGGAAACAGTTCCAAAGCTTGCTCATAACAACCAAGTAAGTCTTGTGTTCGACTGAGAACATCAAGCTCTTCAGCCCATCTGAACAGTGTATACTGAAAAGTTTCCTACGTGAAAGAGAAAACAGTAATTTAGTCAATAACATAAAGAACATACAACAATGTTTGATGATTCCACAGAGAATAGAACTTAACAATTATTAACTGATTAACTGAAATTTTATTTAGCTTTAGTAGACAGTTTGCTTAATCAACAAATGCATAAATGAATTTTACCACCTGTGTGGCAATAACATGCAGAAGTAAACTCTCTCCATTCTTAGCTACCACATCACATTCTCTACCTATCCTCTCATTTGTGGGCTCCTATGCTTTAGGAGTTGTTTTTGGCCGCCTTCTCCTTTCCCATCCATCTCCGGTGCATTAACTATCACCCATGCATTGATGGATGATGCTACATCTACATCTCCAATCAATACCCTCTCCTCTTCTGAACCTGACTCACAGACACAACTTGCTATCAGTCATCTTAACAAGGAACTGTACCTTCATCCATCTCAAATTCAGCTCAATTCAAGTATTTCCTGAACAATCAGTGTGCAAAGAACTGGAGCTAAAACACAGCAATGAACAACATAAATCCTATTCCTATCCTCACAGAAGACTTGTTGGGAGAAATTTAACATACAATTTTGAAAAAATTCAAAATGCTCTAAAGTGAACCTACTACATTCCTCTCACACAGGATATAAGGTTAAGGTACCACCCAACCTCAAACCACTAAGTCATTTTATAACGCTACTTTAACTCCAATGCAATTAGTTTTAAACCCAGCCAATTCTATCTCAACATCTTTAAATCAGTCACGGTCTCTTCATCCCCACTGTTACAATGTAGTCTGGCCCTCCTAATACTTGCTGGACAACAGTAATAGCATTCCCTAGCTCCAATCTCACCTCCCTCCAGCCATTCTCCACACCACAACACCATAGAAAGAAGGACGGCTTTAGTCATTCCAGTTTTATGGTGAACACATTTTATATCATCTTCACAGATTTACACAGAAGAGTATAAAAATTGTACTTCAGACTGTAACTGAATTTTGATGGCGTTTACTAGAGAGAAAAGGATATGGGAGAAGATTCTACAGTATCAGGGGGAAAAAAGCACAGATGACATGAACTGGGTCAGGGAATCTATAGGTAACTATCTTGGTGTGGTTGAAGTGTGGGCATGGGGAATAGAGTGAGTAGTAGGAAATAAGACTAAAAAGATCTTTTGCTAAGGCCCACACAAAGAAATACGGACTCTGGTCTGCAGGAAACAGAAGTAGTTTCTGAACCCTACTGAACACAAGGTATTCAAATACAAGCTTTAGATATACTTTTGATGTACACTAAACATGTATAAAAAAGGTACTGTCACTGTTTTACAAAGGAGGAACTAAGGAACTGTGAAATAAAGAAACCACACTTGGGTTGATCCATTATTCTGCTGCCTACCTATAAGAGCAAACTGTATCTTAACATAGCACCTTCTCCTCCTTGGGGCCAGCTGCTCCTGAAATTTACACTAAATTTACGTTAACCACAAACATCTAGATGTTACTGACATCTAGCAGGTAGAGGAGATCAACAATGCTGCTAAACATTCTACAATGCACAGGACAGCTCTCCAAAACAAAGAATCATCCCATCCAAAAAGTCAGTAACGCTAAGGTTGAGAAACGCTGGGTGAAATAAAGCCAGTAGCCTGAGGCTGAACACTGAATGCAAAATTAAGTGAAATCATTTTATTAAATTTAGATTCTGAAATAACTTGAAAAAATTTATAGCATTCAAACAGAATAGCCATCACAATCCAGTAGTTGAAGCTCAAAGAACGCATCATCAAATGATTAGGCTACTTCCAAACTTTATTCAACTGCAGATACGCACAACGTTCCTTCTGCCTACAGTTGGCACAAGGGCAAAGGTCCTGAGGCAGGGACATGCTAGAATTAGATATGAGAGGAGGGAGAGGATCACCGGCGGCCTCGTTTGCAATACAGCGTTTATAGTAAAATGGAAGTTTTGAAAAAGAGAAGTCACATCGTTTGACTTGTTACGAAATGCTCACGCAGGCTGTGTTGAGGCAGGCTACAAGGGAAAGCCAGTTATGAGCCTACTGCAACAGCCAACAGATGATTGAGGCTTTAAGCAGGGCAGTAAAGGAGAAGGTGGTGAGAAGTGGTGAGATTCTAGGTACATCTCAAAGATGGAGCCCACAGGATTTTCTGATAGGCTGACTGCGGGTGTGAACAAAAGAGAAGTCAAGGATGAGCAGTAAATATTAATAGCAACCAACTTGCCACCCATCTCAGCCACCCACCTCCCCCAATTTGTTTATTTTACGTGACGAACAGAGGGTCTGCCTGCAAGTGAAAGAAGGGACCTCCTCCGCACCTTCACGTCGTCTTTCAGCTCCGGTGCCAGGCTGAGTACGAGGAGGTAGTGGGCATAGGCCGTGCCGAAGTCCTGGGCGCCCAGGCAGTGCTCTGCGCTCTGCAAGGACCGCGACACGAGCTCGTCCCGCCCGGCTGCCCCGGCGCCACTCCGGGCACCCCGACGGGGCCTGGGCCGCGAGTTCGGCATGACAGAGCCACCGCCCTGAAACCTGCCCTCGTATAACCAAAGAAAAGACGTTTTCTAAGCGGAACGACAAAACTGTCCCGACGGCCACACTTCCAAGTGACTTCAAGGGAGCACGAGAGCCGGTACAGGAAAGGTATCCCTCTGCGGCGTGAGTGCGCGTCCACCTCCGCCAGACAGAAGCCCCGCCTCCTCCCCGCCAGTCGGGCTCCACAGACACCGACTCCGAACTCCGCGACTACCGGCACTGGCCGGCGGCGCACGCCAAGCGAACGTCAGTGCGCCCGACGTGGGCACGTCGCGGCCCGCCCCCTGCCGTAGGAAGGCAGGCGCAGGGCGGCCAATGCGCGTGCGGAGGGGCACGGTCTCTGACGGTCTCTTTCACTGTCGCTTTCCTCTGCCAGTCTCCTCCCTCTCTCCCCGCTCCCCCGTGCTGAAACCGAACTTTTCTTTCTCGTTCCTGGTGGTCAGGACCATGTGACTTCGACTGCTAGACCTCACAATGCAGACCCAGTCGGCTCGAAGCTGCACCCGACCTTGAGGGACCTGGATGGCTATGAGGAGAGAAGGGCGGGCGTTTGTGGTGATACTTGAGACCGCGGGATCCTGATTCATCAGATATCAAAATGGCGGGACTGGAAAGAAGCCCGAGATAACAAACGTACCTTAGGTGTGGTAGAGCAAATGCTTTCACGGGCATTATTTTAAATCACCCTCGCAGAACCCCGTGAGGTGGGCCTTTTTAAATCACAATCTTAAAGATGGAAAAGAGGACACCCTGAGAAGTTAGTTGCCCAGTATCACACAACCGGTTGGTGGCAGAGGCGTGGCTCAAACCCAAGCTCCCTCACTTACTTTAAAACGACTTAGGGTGTATTTCCCTGTCCCATGTATCACCGCTATATAGTGATTATATTAATATATAGAAAACGTCTTTCTACCTTCAAGTGTGGCCCCTAAGAGATGGATTCAAAACTTTTAAGGGGGGGCAAGGTAGGAATTACGCATGAAAGCAGTCGTTTTTGTCCCCATTTTCAAACATGTCAGTGGTGAGTAATTTACTTAACAAAAAACAGCAAATAGAGCATTTGCATATGAAACTAACAAACGTTGGGGGCTCCTCCAAGTCTCTGCCTTCTCTTTTGATCTGATTATCTGAACCACCCTTCCTTTGAGCACCTACCAAAGTAAATCCTAATCAATTCTTCGGAGTCCAGGTCACTAGATTGTAACCTGCTCTCCTAGTCCGAAAGGTTCCTCAAAGGCAGTAACTATTGTTAACCGATTTTGTAACCTTTGCCCCTAGCAGAGTCTAGCTCAAAGTAAGGACTCAAAAAAAATTTTTTTTAAATTTTAATGGAAAGTACATTCCCCACTACCGGGTTTTGTAGATTTTCCCAATCACTGAGGTCCTTATTTCTCTCCCCATCTGAATTTGCTACTTTCTGTACTAAACAATTTAAGATATAACTATATATTTCCCTATCAAGACTAAAATGCTAGTCCCTGTAGGATGTAGTAGAACACAAAAAGGCCTCTGAACTTTAATTTAAAAAAAAAAAAATGCGTTCTAGTCCAACTAGTCTAATCCTTTTCAGTCCTTTTTTAAAGAGTGCTATATTCCATTACAAAGAACCCAAAAGCATGTTGCAAAACAAATGTAAAATGTGGATTTCATATTTAAAGAAAATCAAAGTTTTCTTTTTTTTTTTTTTTTAAGATTTTATTTATTTATTTGAGACAGAGAGAATGAGAGACAGAGAGCATGAGAGGGAGGAGGGTCAGAGGGAGAAGCAGGCTCCCTGCCGAGCAGGGAGCCCGATGCGGGACTCGATCCCGGGACTCCAGGATCATGACCCGAGCCGAAGGCAGTCGCTCAACCAACTGAGCCACCCAGGCGCCCCCAAAGTTTTCTTTAAAAAAGAAAAAATATTGAAGGTATTTCTCCTTTGTTCACAATTGCCTTCTTCCCACTTCCACCTCACAATCAAAACTATAATCTTTAATTACCTTTGAGAGTCTATTTGATTCCTTCACTTACGGGTTCGAGTTCACCATCTTTTAGCGTTCCAAGAAAAACCCGACTAATTAGAAAACCACTGCTGACTCAGAGGCAGGTTTAATTGAGGTTGTCTTTTACCACGTTCTGGGCGGCTTGTCAACAAACCACACATGCCGAACTAGGAAGCAAAACCAACTGAAAGGCTCTCAGTCAACTTTCCAATGTGCAAAAGTTGAAGGTTAACAGTGGGGGGAAAAAAGGCTCACAGGAAGTTCATTAACAAGTGATAAATAGCTTGCTGGGTACAAGTATCTTGTGTTTATACTTTCTGTGGAGATTCATACCTTTTTGGGTCATTTAGTTTGTTTTCTTTTGTGGTTTGGAGCCTTGTTTTGAACTCTGTGCATTTTAGGATCATCTGGGGAGCTCTTAAACAGTATCAATGTCTAGTCCTTGGACCTGGAGATACTGATTCAATTGGCTTGGGGCGGCAGAGGGAGGGTCTGGATATGAGTACTTTTTTTTAAGATTTTATTTATTTACTTGAGAAAGAGAGAGAGCACCACAAGCAGGGGGAGTGTCAGGCAGAGGGAGAGGGAGAAGTAGGCTCCCCGCAGAGCAGGAAGCCTGACGTGGGGGGCTCGATCCTAGGACCCCAGGATCATGACCTGAGCCAAAGGCAGATGCTCAACCAACTGAGCCACCCAGGCACCCCTGGACATGACTACTTTTAAAAAGCTCTCTGAGTTGAGTCTAAAGTGCATGATAGGGGTGGGGAGTATGGTACAGGCTTCTATTATATCTGATATATTTGAAGTATTTAAGGTATTGTAGTATAAAGTGTAAGGGAATGTAGGGAGTAGAAATATAATTTGTTTATGGCTTAACAAGAATTGTGAAGATTCTCTAAATTCTTTTGAAGTGATTGCTATGTGATGAAGAATAGAATGTTCATCATATTGAATTACTTGTTGGAGAAAAAAAATATATAACTGGATCAACAAAACATTACCACCAGGACCAACTGCTTGGGCACTGAAATTTGCATTGATACATTCCCCATGCTTAATTTTCCCAGTGTCTTCAATCTTTTTTATTTTACTACAGTTAGGATTATTTAGTTGTTGTTGTTTTATAATAGACCCTTTCTATTGTCCTTTGTACATTTCAAAATCTAGAATTCAAAGTTAAATATAAAACTCTAATAATAACTAGATCGGTGCTGAATTCAGGATCTGTGTGCACAAGGACCTGTAATAATGTGACAAGAGTTTCAGAGTTTCAGAGACAAGATAAGAGAAGATTCACTTATTGAGTGCCACTGTGCACCAAGCACCATGCTTGGTTCTGGAGAACCTGCCTGAAGCCCCTGCTAGAGATGCCTACCAAGGTGTTGGTGCTGGGACAGACTCCAAGTAGTCTGAACAGAGCATGTCCTCACAGAGCATTCAGGAAAATGCTAAAATCCATTAGGGAGCAAAGAATCTAAACCCCAACGTCACCTCAATTCTCTGTACTTTTCTCCTTATTCCCCATCAATCGTGACTAGTCAGGTCTCTGCAGGAAAAAGATTCAAAGGGCTTAATTCTAGAGAGCTTAACCAAAGGACATTTTATTGAGGTGGAAGAAGTTAAGGGACTAAACGCAGCTTGTGAGGTACGCACAGAACAGCAATAGCTGGAAGCTATTACCACCCCCTGTCCCGAGGAAGCAAAATAAGAGGACTGTGTTACTGGAACCCAGAAAGGGCTGTAGCTCTGGAAGAGGGGCCACTGGAATGGAGGTGTACTGCAAGTAGAGGAGAATTCCCTGACCTTTTTCTCCTGCTGTCCTTGCCTCCCACTGCCTTCCAGCCCTCAATAAGATGCCAGCCACTAAGGGAACTTGGGTGATAGCACCTGTAGAGTCACACCCTCCAAAGCACAGAATAGAGCAAAGAAAGGTAGAAAATGGTTCAGTAGGACAAAAGGAAAACAATCATCAGTATTTACCAAGTTTTACCTCGTTTTACCCACTAATTTTTTTTAATCTGCCTTCTCTTCTCAATGGTTATTACCATTGTCTGTGTTCATGTTCTTTTAATCTTTCACCTTGTCTGTTTTAATGACCTTTTCATCATCCAGCCTTCAGTTACACACTCCTTATATTCATCTTTTATGCTGTATCTAGAATGATCCTAAAATGCCAGTTTCCCATTCAGTGGCTCTCCAAACCCTGTAGCTGTATTTTACAAACTTTTTTTCTTAGTTGTTTGTGTCAAAAATTTCCTAAATCCTAATCAAAAATATAGTCGTCTTTCCTTAGGAAAGGGTCATGTTGAATGTGTACGCTTACATACAGAAGTGGTTTGGTTTAGAATGTATTATTTGAGTAAATGAACTGAAGATCATCTGGTGTCCTTAGAGACAAAAAGCCATAAGAATGTTTACTTATATTGTCCACCCTGGGCAAAATAAAATAGTTGAGCCACTTAAGATTGACCCTTAGATGTAAATGAACTGATAAGGACACTGCCCCAATTTCTTTTGTAGCAACCTTGGAGGAACTGGACCATCAAGGTACAGGCTTTCCTTTCAAAAGGTAGAGGTGAGACAAATTGACTTTAAAAAATCTAAGCCCTGGGGCGCCTGGGTGGCTCAGTCGTTAAGCGTCTGCCTTCAGCTCAGTTCGTGATCCCAGGGTCCTGGGATCGAGCCGAGGCTTGAGCCCGGGATCGAGCCCCGCATCGAGCCCCCGCATCAGGCTCCCGACTCGGCGGGAAGGCAGCCTCTCCCACTCCCGCTCCCCCTGCTTGTATTCCCTCTCTCGCTGTGTCTCTCTGCCAAATAAATAAATAAAATTTCTAAAAAAAAAAAAAAAAAAACTAAGCCCTGGTCATAGGCTAGGCTTTTTGGGATTGGCCTTTTACATCCTCTGCCTTAAAGGACTCGCCTTAAGACCCATTTAAAAACATACTATAGCTCAGTGATTGTGAGATCAAATACTGGAGCCAGACAGTCTGAATTTAAATTCTAGCCCTGCCTCTTCCATCTAGGTATCTTGAATGTTTTAAATTCTTTAAATTCTGTACCTGAATTTCCTCATCCACAAAATGAGGATCACACAGTACCTGTATCTTAGCTTTGTTGTAAGGATTAAATGAGTTAATGCACTTAAAGTGCCTGAAACATATGAAGCCCTCAATTAAATATTAATTGTTGCTGTTACTACTCCAGTTTTCCCTGGAGGACAACTCTAACTGTTCGCAGAAGAGCCAGTCTTCCACCCAAGAGGAGCCAGTGACTCTCTTTGGCCAGTCATGTGAGTCTTAACACAGTGCTTGGATCTAGAGTACTTTAATGGGGGTAAGAAGACAAGTCATTCCTCCTCCGCCTACTGCCTCCCAAATAAACTGACATCTGTCTCAGAGACAAACAATAAGTGCTTAATTTGGTTTTCTCCCACAGTTGAGGTAAGGAAAGGGAGCAAAAACTGTTTTTCATGGTAAAATAGACCTTAAAGGATAAATCTTAAGCTGTGATAACAAGCCCTCTGAAGGTTCTTTGAGCTTGATGGAAAGCAAGTGTTCACAGTAGATTCCTATGACCTATTTTTTGTGCAGAGTACTGATTGGATGTGAACCGTGAAAAAGCCATAAAACCATGCAGAAATAATAATAATGTCTCATCCTGTGCTTTGTCTTCAGAGCAGAGTTCTTAAACTGTTCAGTCCTCATGCTTTCCAAGCCAAAGTTATCTTCTCTAAGCTCTTTATTTGTATGGTTTTGATAAGCACCCAACCCCTTTAGTTAAGGGAAATATTTGCAAGCGATGGTGTGAAAGTTGGCTGAGCTGCTCTGATTGAAGTAGGTATCAGAACCAAAGCCATAAAGCACAGTTGGCCTTCTGTCCCCTTTCCCCCACCATTCACCAAATGAGGAGGGGCTTTGTTTATCCCAGTTTGAAACTGCAATCTTACAAGATTAAGTCCAGATTCCTTAATTAAGTCCAGACTCCTTAATTAAGTCCAGCTACATGATTTGGTTTCCACTTAACCTTTCTAGCCTCAATCTTTAACATTTCCTACTTCACTGCCACCATTCACACCTTTGCTAAGGCAGTTCTTTCTCCATATAATGTTTTCCATCTTAGTTTGCTCTGTTACTCCGTATCACCCTTACTCAGTTCAAGATTCTTCCTTCCAGAAATTGCTAGTTTAGGAGGAGCATTCTCTCTTTGATTTCTCATAGTCCCCTGTCTATAGCTCTATCTTAACATTTACCCAATTATGTAAGTGAAATGATATGTTTGTCTTCCTGACTAAAAAGTGAGTTCTAGGCCTTAGGAAGTACTTTATTTATTCCTTATCTCCAGCATTCAGAATAGTGACTGGAACTTAAAAAGTAATGAAATGTGTGGTGAACTAAACTAAAGGCAGTAGCAGGAAGATCAGAGAAAGGAAGACTTGGAAGATGTGTAGAGAACAGAATCTATAGGACTTGAAACAATTACATTATAGAAATACCAAGGACATAAGGAAAGGGGAGAAAGTTAAGGTGACGCCAAAACTATTAGCATGAGCAACTAGGGACATGGTGGTGCTGCTAAACAGGGTAGACAATTCAGGCAACAGCAACAACAACAACAAAGATTTGAAGAGAAAGACGATGAGTTAAATGGCCATGTTTGAGATATCAATGGGATATCAAGTGAAGCTGTCCAGTAAGAAGGTAAGAAAGTGTGTCTAGAGCTCACAAGCAAGATTTGGTCTAGAAATACATTTGGAGGTTTTAATTATATGGTAGGTTGAAGTTGTATAAGTGGTTATTATCTTCCATAGAAAGTGTGCAGAGGGTAGAAATGCTGAAGCCAAATTGTAGAATGAAGAGAGAACAGCAAAGCCTCTGGGAGAATCCTCTGAAATTAGTAGTGGAGGAAAGTAAAATCCTGGCTAAGATGGATCATTTTGTAAAAATGTGCTATTCTAAGGAATGGTTTATAAATGAGTTGCCAGTAGGACCAGGGTCTCTCCCAAATCCAATCAGGGTAAGAGCATATAGAATAGATAAATATAAGGAATATGAATGTTATATTTTTCTCAATATACAGGTATAAAGTCATCTTCAGATTTCTTTTGGTTAGTGAAAACAAGTATTAATGTAGGGGCTTTGGTAAAAGTAAAGTGATGGAATGCAAACTTTTGGAAAGTGGGGGATACTCTTCAGTTTATGCCACTTCAGCTTACAGAGATTTCATAGGAACATTCTACTTTCAGATCGTAGGAAGAAGCTGTATTATAACTCATCTTTATGAGGATTTTTTTGTGACTTATTAAAAGTGAGAGTTGGAAAGTTGGAATTTATTGGCATTTCTCCAGGGAAATCTATAGTGAATGCATTCAGTAACTTAATGTTTAAATAATTTAATATTTCACTGGCCAGCATCTTCCTCTCTTTTTCTGGGAACTGCTTATACTTGTCAACTTTCACTGGGTTATGCTACATAACTGAGAGTTCACTGGCTTACAAAACAAAATACTTTCTTGCTTATATTACATACAGACTATAAGTTGCCTACAATGGTGCTTCAGGCTTTGGGAAGTTGTCTACAGTGCACCATGTCTTATCTCATCCTGGATTCCATGTTGAAGAAGCAGGTCCTAATGTGAGACCTGCCATTCTCATGGTGGGGATGGGGGAAACCTGTTAGAAAAATCATGATGCTTTTTAAAAAAACTTTATTTATTTATTTATTTATTTATTTATTTATTTAAGTAATCTCTACAACCAAGGTGGGGCTCAGACTCACAGCCCCAAGGTCAAGAGTCGAATGCCTTTCCAACTAAGCCAGCTAGGCATGATGCCTCTTAAAGCTTCTACCAAGGGTGTTGTATGTCATGGCCTTTCACTCCATTGGCTAAAGCATGCTATAGGACTAAGCTCAGCCTTAATGGGCAGGATGTATATGTATAGTCTTCACAAGGAAAGGGACACTTCAAGTCACATGTACATGGAAAGGGAAGAACAAATAAGTCAATAACACAATTTGCCACACTATTCCTCTGTCAGCTTAACCTCCATGGCTTTTGTGGGAAAATTCCCATGTTCTTATATGTTCCCAGTTTTTTGGCCATAATTGATTTCTTCAGGGTTGAGCACATAACAGAGCCCTTCTATTTTCTAAAAGGAATTGAGAGAGAGGAGAAAGAAAAAAAAAAAAAGACTCTACAGTAGCCAAATTATATATGTGCTGCTGAAGCGAGCACTCCAGTAACCAAATTGTAAAATGTAGTGCATGGGAGTTATCAGTGACCACATTCCTTAACATATGGAGAAAACCAGGCTACAGTGGTAGGGAACAGAGCTGACACACAGAGAAAAGTCAAACAAGGACAGAAAGGAAATTATGGCATTTCTGCTCTTCCAATGGTTTGGTTGTTGAGCCATTCCTTGGATTCTGTGAATCGTGAAGCTTTTCTTTTTGTCTAAGCCGAAATTGTATTGCTTTTTGTCTTTTGTAATGATATCAAGGTAATGGACGTATGTAATTTCATTTAATCCTAACACAAATACTTTTAGGCAGGCACTGTAATTGACATTTCACAAATGAGGATTAGAATTAGGGATGGAAGTTCTCTCTGATACCTGGCTAGAAGAAATATTTTACAAGAACACCCAACTACATTATTCTGCACTATGCTCACCAGCAGTTCTTGTATTGGTCTCTTCCAAGGGCACTAACAAACTGGGAAACAGTGACCCCAAAAAATGGGCTGATGTTGGTTATCTTGCCAGAAATAGCTTGCATTATGAAATAACTAGTTGGTATTATGATTTATAAACTAGTTTTTTAGTGAGCTGGGTTAGTGTGAATCATTTCTGAGAATTTGAGTTAACAATTTAGAATTTAAGAATCTGAAAAGTTGAGGATTATATTAGAGGTAAAACTTATCCAGGTCTGACCTTGCCTAGAGCAGGTGCACAACCTAATTTTGGGCATCTACTTAGCTGCACAACCATCATAAACTTGGATTTTTCAAGATGTCAAAAAATAGAATTTCTGTAAAGAACTGACTTCTGGACACAAAATTCAGAACTTCCTGATCATTTCTGTTTCAACACAGATCTAAAAGATGTACCTACAGTGTTTTTAGTCCTAGACTATCTATTATCAGTGTTAAGAACGACCTGAGGTAATATCAGTGAAAATAGCAGAGTAACATACTCCAAATTCCAACCCCCCATAAAAGCAAATAAAAAATGGGAAAATGAAAAAAATGAAAAATTATCAGAATCAACTTTTTTGTGACTTTGAACATTAGCCAAAGGCCTATAGCAAACTGTCATATACTTACTCAGGGAAAAAGGGCTGATTTTTAATACGAACAGTAAAAATGTATGGTGTTTTAACCTATGCCACCCCCATCCCCTGCTCCTCAGATCGGTGGTACCTGTGAAAATAACAGCCTGCATTCCTGGTACCAGAGGGAGCAAATCATACTTCATAAGCAAAGAATTGTAATTAATGGCAGTTGACCCTTGAATATTATGGGTTTGAACTGCATAGGTCCACTTACATACAGATTTTTTTCAATAAATACAGTACTATAAATGTATTTTCATTATGATTGTCTTAATATTTTCTTTTCTCTTGCTTACTTTGATGTAAGAATATAGTATATAATATATACAAAGTATGGGTTGATTGTTTATGTTACTGGTGAGGCTTCTGGTCAACAGTAGGCTATTAGTAGTTAAGTTTTTGGGGAACCAAAATTTATAACTGGAATTTTGACTGCACAGGGGGATAATGAGGGAGTTCACCACCCTAGCCCCCATGTCGTTCAAGAGTCAGCTATATTTGTTCTAATCATGTCTGGTGGCCCCCTGGAATATTGGCTCAAAGGCTTGTCTTTATTTTACCTAACTCCAAACTAGCCTAGTGCTAAAGCTCCTTCCCACAGGCACTTGTTGAAAACATTTATAGTATAATGTCTTGGGTTGCTGTGCCTGCTATGATAGATAATAGCTGGGGTAAACAATAGACTAATCAGGGGCACCTGGGTGGCTCAGTCGTTAAGCGTCTGCCTTCGGCTCAGGTCATGATCCCAGGGTCCTGGGATCGAGCCCCGCATCGAGCCCCGCATCGGGCTCTCTGCTCAGCGGGGAGCCTGCTTCTCCCTCTCCTACTCTGCCTGCTTGTGTTCCCTCTCTCACTGTCTCTCTCTGTCAAATAAATAAATAAAATCTTTAAAAAAAAAAAAAAAGACAAATCAGAAAGGCTGGGCTACGAGTGTCTTGGAAGGACTTACAAAGCTCCTAA